TATGAACAAGATTTATTTTCATATGAAAAAACCTCCCCCTCTGCTTTTTTTTTATCTGATGAAGTGCATTTGTCAATTGTTACCGAATTACATCATCCAACAATAAGGGGCCTGAAGCTGTATTAAAGAAAAAAAACACCTATTAATATAAATTCTATGCTTAAAGATATAGCAGTGTGTGTGTGTGTGAGTGTGAATTTCGAACTCTGTAATTTTTTTTTTTATTCTTAATGAAAGAGAGAAAGATAATAAAATTCTCGTCCTCTTTGGAATAAGATCGAACAAATTTATACATTATTCTTTCCATTTAGGAATAGAAGAAAGAACGGAAACTACTTAGCTAAAATAGAGTATTTTTAATAAATGAAATTTCATTCTATATTTGACACTAACTGCCACTAATCACGCTATTGTTTGTTTGGAATATAATATTGGCAATGGTTAATAGGAAAAAAGGGGCGGTGGTAGTCATGTCTTGAGGTTTTTTTTTGGTTGGTTAGGTTTATTGGTTGTTTTGGTGAAAATAACCGAAAATTGTCGTCATCACCATCATCATTGCTTTTATATTTATATGCCTATTAGATTGGGAATCTTCCTCCTACTTTTTCATTCTTATTCTACATTTTCAACCAAACAAAACTTTCATATATTTCGATCTTCATTGGTACGATTTTATAAACATACATACAACAAGTACACGTACGTAGCAAACAAAGTCGATTTTTTCATTACCTTCATATTCTTTGGTTGACTAGAACAGCCATTCATTTAAACAAAACATTATATCTTAGAAAAGAATGGCCAGATAAAAAAAAAACTAGGACATTTTAAATCGATTCTGGTCGATATTGATTAAAGGGACATAGAAAAACGTAGAGAGAGACAATGCCTAAATTGAACACAAGAGACCGAGAAAAGAATAGACTTCATTATTCTATTGCACAAAAGGTCATAAATATTGAAACAAACAATCTACTGAATATATCTTAAAAAATAAAGTTATTCAAATAATGAAATTTATTCAATTAGAACAAAGAGCAAATAAAATCCACATATTACATAATAATATGATTTAGTAGCCATTAAATGTTTTTGGGTTAGGTCAATGATGAGAAATGATTTGTCAAAATTGTTTGAAACTTGCTTTTAATATATATAAAGTAATAAATATAAATCCAATAAACTAACAGAATTTTCATTCATTGTTTATTTTTGAAACTTTCATGTTCTTTTCATTATTTTTACAGACCAAAGAAGATGGTTTAGAAACTTTTTGTTGAAGAATTTTTTTTCTTTGTAAAAAAAATAAATAGCTTTATGAAATGATGTGGACTGAATGTTTTCTCTCTTCAAATTAAATTCCTGACAGATGACTATCAATGTTCTAATGCATCGATCAAATGAAAAAAATCAATTTTTTATTGTTGATGAAAATGATTTCAACAAATGTCACCATCATCATCATCATCGACAAATATTGTTGCCGCTGCTGTTTCCATCATCAACGTTGGTCATCATATTAAGAATCATTATCATATACGATTCTGATCAAATTTTTAATATTGCAAACAAAATGGACAAACAAAAACACAATGAAAAGAATGAATCTAGAATAAAAATTACACAATCACTAGATAAATGCAAAGCACCACAAGAATTGTCAATCTCATTGATTGGTACAAACAACACCCGTATAGCCATAGAAACCAATAAGTCTTCCGATGAACAACATTTTTTTAATCATTCAAAACCCGAAATTGGAAAAATACAATCATCGTCCACGTTGAGCGTCAATGCAGGTAACTAACATTAATTGAAATTTTACAAATGCTTCAATGCACAATTGAAATAACAATTTTACTGACTGTAATATATAGGGGTCAACAAGAATCCACATACGGTATCTATATTATCAATATCAAGACACAACAGTCAGGCATCTTCTATCAATGATATAAATTATGAAACGGAACAATTATTGGAAAAAGCAATTCGCCATAATGATGTGAAATTGGTTTCAAGAATTCTTGAGCTATATGATGATAGTAAAAATGAATCACTAGACAAAACGAGCTTGACAGGAAAAAAGCCATCATCATCATCATCATCATTTCAGAAAGATGATAAAATTGAAAGGCCAGTATTGAAAACGCAGGTCGCTATCAATGAACAAAATTTTTTTCATGGTCAATCTAGCTCCATAGATGATGTTGAAAGTGTTTCCATCTTTTCTAATGTACTTCATCTAGCAATTGAAAATAATGCTTATGATGTCATTTTATTTTTATTAAAACATCGAATTGATCCGAATAATCCGGGTAAAACTAGCTGTCATACAGAATGCTTTCGACGTTCAAGAAATACTAGTGTGGATAGTCAAGATCATTTGCTATATTCAAATTTTAAAAATATTCAATCAACAAGCTGTGAGCCATTAATACGTTCACCATCGATTCGATCGGCTAATTTACCGTTGCTATTAAATCCGAATATAGTAAGCACACCGAAAATGCCCTCATTTCAATCAATGCAATCGAATCAATGTTCCATAAATAGTGAGCCATACAATTTTAATAGCCGTCGGTCGTCAACCAAAAGTGCCAAAATAATACAGATCCGTTCAGAAATATCGAAAGATCGAAAAACTGTTCATGTTTGTTCGGATGGTACTCATATAACTTATGATGAGGAATACAATCGAGAGAAATTGTTCACATTACCTCCAATATTTTTGGCTGTTGCGTTAAATAATTCGGTTATTCTTCGAGAACTAATATCATATGGAGCAGATGTGAATTTGATGGACGGCCATGGCGTGACACCGTTACATTTATGTTTGTGTCAACAGCATATTTCTCGAGCTTGTTTACGATTGCTTATTCATTCTGGAGCTAAATTGAGAACTAAAAATAATCAAAATGTTGCTCCAATTGATCTGGTAGATTATCCATTTTCCAATGAAGTTATACAAATGCAAAAGACCATTATTGATGAATCATTTGAACAATTATTGCTTGGATCAACTGATGATGGTAAACAAGATTCTATTTTGTTTGTTAAACATAGAAAAAATTCAAAGACGACTCCATTAAAAACGGCGAACAATTTAGCATCGACATCAAAACGTTTATTTCTCAAAGATAATAGCACAGATTCTTATACAAATGGAACAAATCTTGCCAAATTTTTTGAGACAAAAATTATGAAAAATGAAACTAGAAAGAAAAATTTCCCTTTCACAACCAAACAATCCAGTAAAGAAGCAACTACCCTAGGCCAAGAAGATATATTACTTTCGGAAACTCGGCCAAAAATTGTGTCTAGAAAAAGTATCACTAATAGTGTTGCTTCTAATTCCACATTATTATTGTCAATATCACCAGGATCTATTGGACATAAACGAAGTTTTGCCATTGATTCACAGGGTGATAAAATTTCTGCATTGAAATCATTTCAGAATGTAAGTCTATCTAATTGACATTTATAATGACAATTGTCCAAATGTTTTTTTTTCTACTCTTATTTTCCAATTACACAATTTTTGAAAAGTTGTCGCAATCAACATTACAATTGTCTGGTGATAATAACATTGATAATAATCAACCACAGACTTCAACTAATCATCATCATCATACAAGTTTTGGAGCTCGTTATTTATTTGGACGACGACGTAGTGGGGAAGAAAATGCAAAAAATCATTTGAAAATTGTTCAAGCTTTGTCAAATCGTACAACAACCACTCATGGTATAGGTAAATTTGTACAATGTTAAACACTAATAATAATCGAATAGCTTACGACTATTTTTAGATGAAAATAAGAATAATAATGAAGAATTAAATATTAAACGATTACAAGATTCAATCGAAACATTATATAAAATGGCATCAAATATTGAGTGTATTCCAAACATTATCTGTTGTCTACAAAAATACTTGCCAGAAATAGTTGCAAAGAATGAACAACAAAATATTCTATCCATACTTCATGATAGCCTATCTAAACTTTTACAAAAAGCATTACAGGTAAGCATACATTCTAGGAACAAGTAATTAATTCAACTGTTATCAATTAGACTATCATAGAAAATTTTTCTATGGAAAAGAAGAAAATTATTCACAATAAACTAAAACAACCGAATCAAAGTATCGATTCATGTGGAACAAATAATGAATTAGCAGATAATTTGGACGAAATTGAAATTATTATGATTATTCGATTAAAGCAGCAATTGGCAAGTCAATTGTGTAGCCTTATTGATTGTGCTTTTCATTGCCTAAAAAGTGGGCAAACATTTCAATATACTTCACTATTGATAATCAATAAAATTATTGATGCTTTTGTTCGTTACGAAACTTTTGCTTCACCACTTGATTTTGATTATATTTATGAAGAAAATATAGAGAACAAAAAAAAAGATGTGGAAAAAGAATCGGGTAAATCGTCATTGATATTTAGTCATGAAGAACCTGCCGGGAGTGATAATAAACACACAACGGCAGCCATACAATTTAGCAAACATATCAAACATTTACGTCTTCACGAACCATTCCATTTCATGCAGAAGAATCCTAGCAATAACAATAAAAATCATGACAAAAGCCATCATTCGAAATCTGAAACAGAAAAAGATTCTATTGAACAACCTTCGGCAACAAACGTCATACAAAAGTGAGCGTTTTTATAGTATTTATATATAATTTTTTTATGATATAAATTTTGAAATCAAATTATCGTATTATATATTTTTTTCTCTATTCTTTGTGTGTTTATTTCGATTTTCTTTTGTCTCGTGTGTTTTTTTTCATAGCTTCGAGACAAAAAATTTGATTTTCTGGGTCAAAAATGTTCATTTATCATCAAAAACCAAACAAAATCAACAGAAAAAGTTGAAATTAATTTCCGAAACATTAAAAAATACACCAACAACTACAACAACAACGGGCAAAATGACGAAAAATGATGATACAAATTTTCAACAATATTTAAACCGAAAAAATAACAATAATATCCATGATGATACAAAAAACAATGTTGTCGAAAGATTTTCGGATGACAGCACCGTTAAAAGCTTTAATGTTCAAACATTTATCACAATTTTGTCTCATAAAGGATTAGATCTTTTGCTCAATGTATTAAATAATGCTATTACATTACATAAACGTTTTTCTGAATCAAAACAATTGTGCATCCCAAGTAAAAGGTACAACTTTTTATATATATATATACAGACAAAAAATACGTTTTTAAAAAAACTGTGAAATATTTCAATATTCCACCACAGATGTCGCAATTGTTTATATCATTGCCTTCAAATTCTTTCAGCACGGGCTATTTTATATACAAGTCAGAATGATGATGCACAAAAAAGATTAATTGAAGAGGGTCCCCTAAAGGTTCTGATTTCATCCATCGATTCTACCAACGATCCACAGTTAATTTGTTTGACATTACAAACAATTGCAAACATTTCTATCAATCCTAACAATCATCAACGTTTGATTGATGCCAACATTGCCGATACATTAATGCAGCTAATATTGCCATCGGATGAATGGTTCTACACGAATCACAGCACAAAGTATGCTAAATTTGTAAAACACCAAGCCGCTCGAATAATGGTCTACCTTGGTCTTGAAAAGAGATTGCGAAACAAAGTTTATTTATTCGATTTGATGGGTAATTCAATCCATTTAATAACTTAAGGCTACAACAACAATCGATTAATCATACATACATTTTGTTTTAAATTCAGATGATTTCAATTGGCATTCACCTTCAAACAATTCAGCTGAAGACAGTTACATAATACAAACGTCGATAGCCCCGAGCGTCGTTTTTTCCGAAACATTTCCACAAATTTTGATAGGATGTTCGGTGGAAAATATCGTCGTAGATTTAATCAAAAAAATCGAAGTATTACGTTCATGTTTACAATAAAAGAAAAATGTAATTATCGCTACTAATGTATTTGCATTTTTTTTATATTGTATTTAGGATAAATTGATCAATGGAGAAGATAGTCTTTGTATAGATCCATTAAATGACGAAACAATGAATTGTTTGATGGATGGATTCCAGAACAATACCATGAAAGATTCCTGTCCACCAGCTATTCAAGTTGATATGCCTTCCGGTCTAATCACTAATCATCATACCACAAATCATCCTAATTGTTTCTTTTACTTATCCACATTACCAATGACTTTACCTCCGATAATCTTATTAAGGGTACTTCAACATCGAATGTTTGGCGCTATTTCTTATTGGACATGGCAATCTCGTGCTAGCGTTGCCTCTTCGGCTGCCAGTTCATATGAATGTTATCGTTCCCGTGCCAATTCGAATGCTAGTAATTGTAATTTCCCTAATCTCAAACAAAATATCGATTGGCATTGTTCCAATTCTAGCCTATCACCGAATCGAATCGATTTAGAAAGACGAATGTCAGCAAAAGGCCAGTATTGATGATATTTGATTATTGAATATATGTTCATTTTAACTACTTTTAATTATTCAGGTCTTTCAGAAAATTATCGATTAACTCCACAAAACTCTTTTCCATTGGGAACAAAAAGTCCAATGTCAGATTGTCTGTCGACAGTAAGTCGTAATAATAGTCAAACAACAGCACATAGGCTATCTATACAACGATCGTCTATACAACGGGCATCATTAGTCGAACAGCAACTACAATCACATGCCAATGAATTAGATACACCGTTCATTCATCAACATTCTCATCAGTATAAACAATCCAATAAAAATCAGCATACATTTTCCATTGATGGAACTAATCCCAATCCAAATAATTCAATTGATAATTCTGATGCCGAAGAAGCATATATAATTTCCTTTCAACGCGAATTACAAAATTTACCCAAATCTCCGGTGCTTATTTGTGAAAATTCAAATCAAAATTCTACCGTTAATGATTCGGTTACAAACATCATTAGAGAAACATTCGAAAATGTAGGTAATCCATTCAAACGACCGCGATCATGCAGTGTTCCAAGAATAACATTAGAAAATTTTCCTACCGTTCTACTTCATTTGCCTAAGAATCCGATTTTACAAACGCAACAACAACAACAACAACAACAGCAAGAGAAAAACCAGCCGCCATGTTCAACATCATCATTATCGAGAATGAATGCAAATTGTAAAAGTTCACAAACTGCTGCCATCGATATTCGTTGTAATAATCAAATATTCAATTTCAGTAATTGTCTATGATTATTATCTTAAAAGCATGAACAACAAATGAAACATATTTTTATTTTTTATTATTATTTGTTCTATTGAAACATTTAGATCATACAAGCCCAAACTTATCACCATTAAAACATTCGTTCAAAAATCTTAGCGAAAGTCCCAATTCATGTGGATGCAGTTCACATCGTACGGCTTCGACCAGAACGGCTTCACGATCCGGTTCCACTGGCCAGGTTATTAATGAATGGATTATGCCCAACATACATAAAGCGATAATGAAGCTGATTATCGATTGGATCAATATTTGTCCAGACGATTTTCACCAATCTGCTTTTCGACGTGAATTTATTGAATTTCTAAATCGAGTCTCTGCTATGGGTGAACAATATCGTTGGTTTTGTGAAGAGATTCGCTATCTAGCAATTATTAATGTAACTATATATATACTCACCATATATTCAATAAATGATGTTTGTTGTTTTTTCTTTTTTTTTCTTTGTTCAACATTACTATTCAATTTTTTGAAAAAAAAGGAATCGGAAACACTCACTGAGCCGCCATCTATAGATGAACAAATCAACAAAGATTATAAAATGGTAAATTTTTTTTTGAATTTTTTCACTAATGATTTGAATTAATGGAATGAAGATGAGGGGAAATTGAACGAAAAAATGAAAGGAAAAAAAGTTTTCATTATATTATTTTAATATTTACAGATGGTAATTGAAGAATTTTTTGTTACTGACGATGTACCAGGAATATTCAATAGGCACGCAAAGAATTTCAAAGAAAATGTCAATATTTTTCGAAAAAAAAACTTATATCAAAATAGGTTCCGAATCATTTGAAAAATTCACAATTCTTCTATTTCTTTGCATTTTTTTTTCTCTCACATTGAAAATTGTATGAAATAAGCTATAGGAATTCATTTTTTTTTTTGAATTTATTAACAAAAAAAAAAAATTCTTGGCTTCTATTACATTATTCACTTCTTTATTATTCCTATCAAAACAACCAATAGCCTAAGCAAAAGGCAACAAAAATGAATTTTTTCCATACAATGTCTATATGTATGTACGTGTGTAAATGTATTGAAAAAAAATAAGAAAAATTTTTTCTTTTCAATACATACATAGAAAATAAAAAAGAAAATTTGTCGTCATGACAGGAAAAAATAGAATTTACTCATTTTTGTCGTTACCATCACGCACTCATATTATCGATAAGAATAGAAGTAGAAACACCATAACAGAATAACCATCTTCACCTTGTAAGCCATGAAATATTATAACGAAAATGATATCATATCCATATCATTTTGCTGAATAATATTTAAACAAAACAAAATGATCGAGAATATTTCTCACACTTTATCCAGGTTTTCATGGTTATACATTGGTTGTTCGCTGTTGGTGTTTTTCCATCACTGCAATCACTAATTGATTAGCTTTCATCAGTCATTCATTTATTTTCATCAAATGTTTGTATGTGTCTGTTTTATGTTTCAATGGCAGAATATTTGGAACAGAAAAAAAATGAGAAAAAAATTCCAATAATAACTCTTCTATTACAATTGGATGAATGAATGGATAAGAAATTGAATATTTTCAATATTGGCCGCTGTGCTAGATGATGATGATGGTTGATTGGTTACTTATGGATGTAACTGTTACGACTAACGGCCCCTTTTCTCTGAATCCCAAAAATAAAATGATCAATTTTTGACGTGTTTTGGCTTCACATTTTTTTTTTTTTTTTTTTGATTATGATGATCGTTTTGTGAATGTATGAAGTTCAAGCTAGATTATGGTATGATGAACAACAGCCAAAACACATAACTCTCTCTTTCTCTGTTTCAACTACGAAATATTAACGAAATAAAAACCATTATTACATATAAACAGAAATATATTATATAATCGATGGTATAATATAAGAATACTTATGTATATAATGATGGTTGAAGCAATGGCGCCTGTCGCCTTCAAGAGAAACCGACGCCGCCGCCTTTTGGACCAACATTATTTTCATGTTGCCAGTGTTTCATTTTCATTCGTTTTGATTCATGTTCATTCAGTTCAGTATATCTTGTCAAACTTATCTATGATATATCAACATAGATGATGACGATGATAATGATGTCTTAATCGTGGATATTACCAGTGCAAAAAAAATACTTTGAACTAGAGATTAATATTCCGAACAGTGTTTGAACAATTTAATTTTGTTGAATGGCCATTGGCCATTACTAATAATGGCAAATTATTAGTGTTTTTTTGAAATTTTTTGTTCGAGAAAAAAAAATTCATATCGAGAATTTTTTCGTTAGATTTCAAACTTTGAATACATTATTATTTGATGTTGATGTTGTCATCGTTAGTTCATTATGAAATAAAGTGAAACTTTTTTTTTGCCATTATGAACAAATGAATTTCACATTTTTTTTTTTTTAACATGTTCGTTTCTATATTGTTATATTCTTTTTTTTTTGTTTCTGTTCCTGGCCTAACAGCTTCAAAAACTGATTCTTAGTGGACAGTTGCCATGTTCAAAAGAGGAAGCGGTCACGTTGGCCGTGATACAATTACGTATTGAGGAAACATCACCACCGTTAAACAAAACAACAGTGATCGACAATGAATCAGATCATCATACACATCATGAGAACATTATTGGACAATCTTCATCATCAATGTTGAATACATCGACATCATTATTGGGAGAAAAATTACGACCCATCAGTGAAAATGTAAAAGTGAGTTTGGTAAAGTGAGAATAGTAAAAAAGAATGAAGAAAAATTCGTAACTTGAAAAAAAACATTATGTTGATTCCAGGAAAATCCTTTAACGCTTTCGGGTAAATTTATTCGTGTTACATCTGCAACATCAACGACTGGCAAATCAGCATCAATTCCAGCATCATCAGCTATGTCTTCATCTTTTGATGAAAATGATGAAGAAGAAAATGATCAAAATGCCACTACTAATAAGGCCAATGATCCGATTTTCAAATTCAACAATATGAATCGCATTCTTTATAATAATAATAATAATAATAATAATAATAATAATAACAGTAACAATATTCTACAAACATTTTCAAATAAGACAACAAACCGCATATTTAAATGGATGTCAATCAATTGGAATGATCGTGATTATGATTTCAGTTCAATCGATGCTCGTCGATATTTGCCACCAATCTATCAAAGTAGTAAAAATATTGCCAAAACAATACGAGTAAGTCAATTGAATAAAAATTGAACATGAAAAAAAAACATTTCCATTGTATTACAATAGTGAATAGTGATGGTTTTTAATTTTAATGAAAAATTATTCTCCGTTTCAAATCAAATAGTATTGCTTCCGGTTTTTTTTTCTATGTTTGTAATGATGTTGAATAATACAAATCAAATATTTTGAAAACAGTGTGTTTTTCACATTTACTTTTTTTCATTATGAACACAAAAGAATCTCATATTTTATGGTTGAAAATAAATTAATCATCGGTCTTGATTTTCATTTGAATTCTTTCCACTTTTTAAATAGTCAATGATTTCTAGGATTTTTTTTCTTTTTTTTCATCATTTTTGTATCTTTTTATGTCTCATTACGTTTTTTGTTTTATTTTTTTTTTGAATAAAAATAGGAACAGAAGCGTAAATTATTCCATACATCCGTTTATGAAAGTGAACAACAGTTGAAAAAACTTTACATACAAACTTGTAAACGTTTGCCTGCATATGGTTGTCAATTATTCCAAGTGAAAGAACTGCTTCATGGCCGTACGAATAGACGTGCAACACGATTACTTGGCATTTGTTTGGATCGTATAGTACTACTTGATTGTAATACATTACAATTGGCTAAAACACAACCAACAAATAATCTACAGCAATGGCGTACTGGTGGTGGCCGTTCGCATGATCGTTTAGTATTGGAATTTCGTGGTACACAATGGTCGTTCATCGCACCATCACATAATAGTTTACGTGCTATCGGCACCGTTTTATGGGAAATATTACAATGTGTTGATTCATCTTTTCTAGATACATTGATAGCGAATGAATCACGGTATGGTACCAATAATAATAACAATCCTTGTTGTAAAGGTATGAAATTGTTTTTGTTGTTTTATCATTTTCTATTTGTATGATTGAAAGAAATAGAATGGGAACAAACCCTGATTAAGTGTGATTAACTGAATGTATGTCGGATTTCCAATTAATCATGATTTGTTTTGTTTTTTTTTTTCATTCATCGGTGTTGTTATTGTTTCCAATTCTGGATCCTAATCTAATTTATAATTATTTTTTTGTTTCACTATTCTATTCTCTTCAACCAACGACGTCAATGATGGAAAAACAGATAATTCCAAATTGAGCAATAACAATTCAATGACTACAGACAATAGTGTAGGTTCGAATGGCAAAATGAAAAGGCGTTTTCGCGATGAACTATTAGGTTTGGAATCAATTTTGCATTTTCCTGAAGAAGTGGCCCTTTGTCTTGCTCAAGTTGAATATGATTTATTTTATAATATTCAGCCAGTCCATTATATTCGACAAGGTTTGTTTTGTTCTCTTCTTTTTTATTTCTCCCTATTACTATATGTTTGACACCATTTTTTACACCCATTTAATTTTTGTTTTGCTCTAACAGTCACATTAGATCTTAGCGCCCAAATTTCTAGTACCGGTGAAGATGATTCACAAAACAAACAATCAGTTGACAATGACGGTATGCCAACAGCCCTTACCGTTGAGGATCTGATTGAACGTTTTCATGAGGTATCTTCCTGGATCACACAACTCATAATTTCACAACCAACACATGAAATGAGGTAGGATGAAATAAAAATCTTTAATTTGGAATCAAAATAAATTTTAATTAAAAAAAATAAATTCAGGAAAGCATTTTTGTCATGTATAATGAGAGTAGTACAAACATGTTGGAATATGGGAAATTTCAATTCAGCCGTTGAAATACTAGCCGGATTAAAGTAAATATATATATTTTAGGATTCCATCATTGAAATTGAATAGTGTAAAAAATGTTTCATTTTGATTTTCAAATTTTTTTTTTAGATCAGAAAAATTAAAACCCTTTTGGTTGTCTATAGAACAAAAAGATGATCTTCACCTGTGCCATAAATTATCAAAAATTTTGCTTACGTTGAATGAACCATCCGATGAATATAAAGAAGCCGTTATAAAAGCATTGGACATTCCACATTCACAAGTGATTCCATTCTTTGGAGCTTTTTTATTTGATCTAAAAAATGTCCTTAAACGTTTACCAAGCCTGATTGTTTTATTAAATGAACATGCAAACAATTATCGGGATTCAATTGAATCTAATCATCATCAACCTAGAATTGAAACAATTTCCGATTTTAATGGCGATAATAATTATATGTCACGCATCGGTGTAGGAGGCATCATCAATATGGAAAAAATGTACAAAGCTCATCAAGTTATGGACAATCTGCGTACATTTCATATACATTCAATTCGACGAAACCAATTACTGACAACGATAAATCAAACGTCTAACATTACATCAAATGAATCAGCTATGTTGGCAATCAATGCAAACGAAACACGATACGACAATAGAAACAGCCAAGAAGAAACATCATCTTGTAACATTAAATCTAATGCAATGATTGAAAGAAATAATTCTGCCGACTTGAATGCTCCAAAATCGTTAATTAAAAAAGAAAATGATGACCTTTATTTGATTGATATGAATTCTTTTATTCCCATACAATCGATGCGTCGATCACACGGAATTAGTTTTATACCATTTGATCATCATATGATCGACTATCATGTATTACAGGTAATGCATCATGGTACAACAATTATTCATTATGAAGAAGATGGTGGCCGTTCATCCATGGTCTACATTAAACTAGAACAAAGCAATTCAATGATTGTATGGTGCAAGCCTTTTTGGAGCACCTCTTTCAGGTCAAGTGGTAATACACCTCAAGATTATCAGCTATCATATGACATTGAAGATTTTATTCTACCTGGTATATCATTGAAATATGAAACTAAAGAACCAGCATTAATTGGTCTTGAAGAAGGATTCTTGGATTTAATGTACCTGAAAGATGTATTCATAAGTACAGCTAGTGTTGATTTATCAATGATTGGAAGACGTCATGGTTTAATGGATTCAATATTTGCTGATCCTAATAACAATTATAGTATTAAATTGTTATTTGGTCAGAATTTGAGTGATAATCGAACGACCGAATTTATAGCACCAAAAATGACATTATCAATATGGGCAGAAGGTTTAAAAAGTATTTTGAAATTATTACAAAATCAAAAAAAATTAACTGATCAAAGAATTTCATGGTTGAAAGAAAAATATCTTCAAGCCTATTATGAAGAATCTGTTTGCAAAGGACCAACACCCGCTGAAGCAATACGAGTGTTTGGCGGACGTAAATGGACAGTAGATACAATGGGATCTAGCTATCAATCGTTGCAAACAGATTCGTCAATAAATAAATTCAACAATATTAATAAAAATCGAAAGAAAAAGACAGGAACAAGTTTCTCTGTAAATCGTGAATTTAGCAATCGATCACAATTGTCTATAAATTCATCACCGGATACTTTTCTGAATCATTGCCGCAGTGATCATTCGACACCAACACACAATTTTAGATCTTCCAATTTGTCGACACAAATTCATGCCGAATCTGATCAAAATGTGAACAATTCACAAAGTAGTTTTGAAGATAATTTTATCGTTTCTGATACAATTCATATAAGAAGTAATACATTGGCCGGTGGTAATTATCATCGTTCACAAATTCAAACAACACAGCTCACATCACAATATCAGGAAAAATATTGTAAACGTAACATTTCAACATTTTTGGATTCATTTGGTGCATCACTCAAAGTGCCACAAAAATCTCGTACCACATCAACCAATTCGAATGTCGAATGCCGTTCAGTTATCACTCATTCAGCCAATTTGTCTTTTTTCGAATATTCTGAACTATTTCGATCATTCTATATTTGTATTCGTCGTGACATCAAAGATATATTCGAACAAATTGCAACAAAAAGTATGTTTGTATTTTGAATTCATTGTTTAATTCTTTTTTTTCTACTTGATGATAGGCGATGTTTATGCAATCAGAGAAATCAAAAGTAATCCATCAAGAAAAGAATCTTTAGCTAAAAATAGCAAGGAGATTTCATCAAATACTACTACTAATAATAATAATAACGACAAAAGAAAATTTATCGGCCTTTTGACACGTAATAGTTCCATACATCTGACAAACGACTATAATAAGAATCGTATTTTTGATGCAATTTCGGCTGCCAGTATTGTGACTAACAGTGCTGGAATCGATTCATTGAATACATCAATTTTAACTGCTGATGATTTTCATTCATTTATAACTACTTATCAATGTGAATCATACACAATGGATGATGTTATAAAATTGATAGAAATGCATGAGCCTAATACATCATTACGTACAAGACATTGTTTTTCATTTGAAGGATTTGCTTGCTATCTTATGGATAAAGATAATTTTGCATATACACCAGAATTAATTCAAACTGATGAAGAAGATATGAACTATCCTTTGTCACATTATTATTGTGCAACTAGTCATAATACCTATCTAACTGGCCATCAATTAAAAGGAGAATCTTCTGTTGAACTATACAGTCAAGTTCTATTAACAGGTTGTCGTTGTGTCGAATTAGATTGTTGGGATGGTGATGACGGAATGCCAGTAATATATCATGGCCATACATTGACATCTAAAATACCATTCAAAAAAGTTGTCGAAACAATCAATGAGAAAGCTTTTGTAGCATCTCCATATCCAGTGATACTTTCGGTTGAGAATCATTGTTCATTACAGCAACAAGCTAGAATGGCACAAATATTCGTGCTTGTTTTTGGTGAGAAATTAGTGACCAGATTTTTATTTGAAAGCGATTATGCTGATGATCCTCGTTTACCATCACCGAATCAATTAAAATATAGAATTTTGATTAAGAATAAAAAATTACGAGCTCCATTGTTACACTTAGCGAATCAACGAATGCGAGTGAGTTTAGTGCATAGTAAATCGATCAATGATCGAGCCAATAGTTTGGTAAGCAATACAAGCACCGGTTCATTCAATGATGATGATGATGATGAATATGATGATGAAGATGATGATGAAGATGTGGAAGAATTGTTACCAATGTCTCTCTCGACAAGCATCGGAACATCACCGGAAAAAAGAACCGGATTAAGTGAAAAAGACACTCCAAGAATTCAACGACAAATTAGATCAATTCGATCTGAATCTTCATATCCTGAATGTGATAACAATATATTTAATTCTCCATTGCACAATAAATCAGCTCGTAAATCGAGTAGTCAAATAGCACCTGAACTTTCAGATTTGGTCATTTATTGTCAAGCAATAAAATTTCACAGTCTTCGTTCGGGAAATAATGCTTCGATAAGTGTTAGCCCCACAAATTCAGTAATGGCAACGCCGGTATGTAAAAAAATTACATCACGTAAACTGATGTCTACAAATACAATGAGCACTAGTATTCAATCAAATCAAAATCTTTTATCAGTAACGGATTCGATCAAATTAAAAGATGAATCCTCCCGAGAACTGAATAATTTGTCACCAATTTATCAAGTTGCCAATACAAACCAAGGGCTGAATAAACGACCAAATTCAACAGCACCTTGCTATCAAGTGGCCTCAATCAACGAAAATACTGCGAAAAAATTATGTCGAAAAAATCCCTTGACTGTTATAGCACATACTGAAAGTCAGATTATGAGAACATATCCGACCGGAATGCGAATCGATTCTTCCAATTTTAATCCCGTTATATTCTGGGCATTTGGCATACAAAATGTAGCGCTTAATTATCAGACAGTCGACACGGCTCTTCAGATATATTCTGCAATGTTTGAACAAAATGGTGGATGTGGATATGTATTGAAATCGAGAGTGATGCGAGATAAATACCATATGATGTATGGACGATTTAATCCCTGGGACAAAGAATTTGATGGTTTACATACAATCAATTTAACAATAACAGTAAGTGTTTATATTCATATTCAAGAAACAAATTACGCATGCATGTTTTTAATGTTTGCAGATAATATCTGGTCAATATGTTTGTCCGAATACAAACACTGGTAGTCCACAGGTTGAAGTAGAAACCATAGGAATTCCGGTTGATTGCAATAGGCAACGAACTAAAATTGTGCAACGTAATTCTCTAAATCCTATTTGGAATGATACTTTTCGATTTCGGGTATATATTCATTTCATATATTTAGTTAATTTTATTGATATTAATTATCACCAATTTATTTTTTCTTTTAATTCAAGATAAAATTTGTTGATCTAGTTTTTCTACGTATAACTGTAACTGATGTAACATTGAATCAGATGGTGGCTCAAATTACATTACCAGTGAAATGTCTACGTCAAGGCTATCGACATTTGCGATTAAGAAGTATTTTAAATCAAAATCAACCATTATCTACATTGTTCATCTATTCAAATTATGAGGAAGAAGGCCTTGATATTCAATCCGATACATCGACTGATCAATTACAAATGTCTAAGAATAATAAGTTATCAAGAATTGATTTGAATAAATTGGATTTGACCAAAATCGAGCCAATCATCACATCATCGGTGAAACGGCGCATGTTTTTCCTAGTCGTTCATGGTGTGATACCTGAAGAATCATCAACCATTTTAAAAATAACACAAGATAGTACTGTTAATGATGTTATCGCTCAAGCATTGTACAAAGCGAATAAACCAAATGAAAGTGTCAATGATTATGTCCTGCTCGAAGAAGTGAACAAAGGTTGGGAAAAAAATCGTCCAAGTGATAGAAGCGCATTAACGCAACGAATTCTCGATCCAAATGAAAGGCCATTAGAGGCTCAGAATAATTGGAAAGGTGATGGAAAATTTATTCTGAAGAGATTAGCCGATGATCCAAGCACTAGAGCATGGATGACAACGATTCGATCGGCTTCAGCGCATAAAGAATATACCAATTCTTCTGAAAAGGAAATTTCAGGTGAATGGGAAGAAAATAAACGAGATGAAAATGAAACATTTTTAGTTTGCATCTATAATGTAAGCAAAGATCAACCTTATACGATATTGAAATCATTGGTGACCAGTACAGCACAGAATATTATTACGCAAGCATTACATAAAGCACATCGAAGTGAAGATTCTAAAAAATTTGTTCTTGTTGAAGAGATTGAAAATTTCATTGATACTCAACTGAACGAACCAAAATTGAATAAAAATTGTATAAGCTATCGACGTGTATTGGAAGATGATGAGAATATTTATAATGTACAAACACAATGGAAAAATAAGGGAAAATTTGAATTGAAATATCGTTCAGACATAACGGCTAATGATAATACTGTAGCGAAAATGCCATTAACTCGTCAAAGTGCCCGTTATTCAATACAATTGAATACACGGGATTCATTACGAAAATTATCACGAATGCATCGAACATATTCAAAGCATTTTCATCGAAAAGAATCGGATGATTCATTACAACGATCAACAAATCAATCAAATCAAGAAAAGCCGGTAACAAATCCAAATATTATCACTATGAACAATCAATCCAGACAAGTACATAGCGATGGTGAATTATCATCGGATATCGATGAACGAACTGGAAGTAGTACTATGAATGAAACAAATATGAGTTCATTTAGTCGGCTGAAAAGACTTTCAATGAAACGATTAAAAAAGCTTGGCAATGTCAGTAAATAACATCTATATCTTCTATCAACGATATATATCATATATCAACGATAAAATAAATTGTTTTAATAATAATGATGATAATTGATTTATTGAAATGTAATACAAACAAGCATATTTGACATTTGCGATTTTTGCAATTGATCCATTTACATATCACAAACACACACACATTGACGACGAAATTGAAAATTGAAATTATCTTTGATTCGAATGGTCGTATTGCCTGGTGATTGTTTTTTTTTTTTTTTTTTTGCTATTGTATTTTTTCTTATATTTTTATTTTTATGTATGTACGCGCATAATTTATTTGCTCTCTGCTCTCGATTTTATCGGAAAATGGATTATATATGCAATATATAATTAAAAAATATTTGTTTTTTTTTCTTTCATTGGTGTTGTGTTGAAAAGTTTATTTTGGTTTTTTTTTATAATAACTATCTGTTAAAAGGATTATGTTCATTTATATAATTCACTTTTTTAAAATAATGAACGTGTTTGGCATTTAAAATTAGATGATGAACACCACTGTGGATAACATCATCATAATTATCATGATGATCATCGAATAAAATGATGATGATAAGTTGGCTAATTTTATTACCGAAACAGATCGACACATCATCAATATATATTTTGGGTGCTATTAGTTTGATATTTTTATTTTATTATTTTATTCTAATTAATTTTTCTACGTGCAAAAAAAATATGTATTGTGGAAAGAATTTAATTTCATATAACAAGAAAGTTTCCATGGAAACGGATTTTTTTTGAAAAATGTTTCTGTTGTTTTTGTTTTTGTGTGTGTGCGTCTGTTTTATTTAGCATGATGCTATATAAATCGTAAAGATAAATTGAATGAATTTTGTTTTCTGATGTTTCAAACCAAAGAAAAACAGTAAAAAAAAATGAATCAAAATGTTTGACATTTATCAATAAATCTACCAAAAATAATATTCATCAATTATTGATCGTTTTTATTTTCTTTGTAACAGTGTTACGAGCATTTTTCATTATTGTTTCGAATGATCATGTAGTTCCATATTATTATAATCAATTTCTATCCTTATATGAATTGCTTTTTATGGAAAATCAATTCAACTTTATTTGGTTTTAAAAAAATTGGCAGCTCAATTGCAATCATTTTTTTATGTTAATATCTATAATCGACAAATATATTCAATATATTAATTTGATAAATGCTTTAATTATTCACTCAAGAAAAAAATGTTCGTACCGAATATTCGAAGACAACCTTTGTACATATTCATCTTGTGTCAAATCATCTTTTTCATATTGTATTATACATTTCAAAATCCGAATTGCATTTTTAGCCCAAAACCTGATTATGAATGGATCTCATCCGAAGTAATTTCACGAAATATAAATCAAAAGTCAATGAAATCGATCAATTAATTTTATTTATTCATTCATTTCTTTAGAAGTATGTTTCCATCGATGGAAAACAAAAACATCTTTATGATCACAATATGCCACTGATATTTATCGGTGGTATGCCTCGAAGCGGTACAACACTATTAAGAGTTTTATTGGATGCCCATCCAGACATTCGTTGTGGTGAAGAAACTCGAGTCATTCCACGAATACTCAGCAATCGTCAATCGTGGTTGAAAGCACCATTCGAGTCGAAACGATTACAAGAAGCTGGTATCACTACCGAGGTTCTTGATTCAGCGATACGGGCATTTATTTTAGAAATCATTGTTCGACATGGAAAACCAGCTTCACGCCTTTGTAACAAAGATCCTTTTACACTTCGTTCAGCCACTTATTTGCAGTATCTTTTTCCAAATTCCAAATTTATTTTTATGGTTCGTGATGGTCGAGCAGTTGTTCATTCCATCATATCACGTAAAGTCACGATCTCCGGTTTCGATTTGAATGATTATCGAGATTGTTTAAAAAAATGGAACACAGCCATGACTCATATGGTAAGAGACACGATATTGGTAATTTCCGAATTAATTTCTTTTAACCTGATTAATAGTATGAACAATGCAACAAATTGGGACCAGAAAAATGTTTTCATGTCTACTATGAACAACTTGTGTTGAATCCCACAAAATGGATGCATAAGATATTGGATTTTCTTGATGTTCCATGGAACAGCACCGTATTACATCATGAAAAATTAGTTGAAATGGGTGATATTTCTCTTTCCAAGTATGTGATAATACAACAAATTGAGGAAAAATTTTATTAATTGACCATTGTTTTTCATAGGCTTGAAAGATCTACTGATCAAGTGATTAAACCTATCAATTTAGAAGCTCTATCAAAATGGGTTGGCCACATACCAGATGATGTTGTGGCCAATATGCACAAGATTGCACCTATGTTGAAAAAATTGGGATACGATCCATTCGCTAATCCACCTAATTATGGTGAACCAGACCCATTAGTAAAAGAAAAAATGGATGAATTGGACAAGAACAAACAGCATTGGGATAATGTACAAAAACATGTCGTTGAATTACGAAATGAAATCCGACAGCATATCATAAACAAGAGCTCTTCTCATCATCATCAATCAATGATTCAGCAACAACAAAAACATTTAAACGAAGACAACAAATCATCAAATTCTAGATGATAAAAGAATCGGCAGCTAAATAAATTACCTCAGCCAAAACAAAACAATTACATCTAGCTTCAAAAAAAAAAAAAAAAAAAATTCTATTCCCAAATAGTGATTCTTTGGGTTCGTCTTTGTATACAGCAAACATTTTTTTTCACTGATATTGGTGCCGTCATATTATGAATTGATTGTTTTTTCTATTTATTATTTTTTATTTACATTGTTGATTTATCAATATTCCTCAATTACCTAATAAATAATGATATAATATATTGTTGTAATATATTTTTTAAATTATTAGAATCTCTATTTCATATTTTAAAAAAGGGTTAAAAATATTCCGACATGTCATCTATGTTGATCACACTTTGATGATGATCCAGAGCCAGTCAGTTTGTTTCTGCAATTTTTCTTTTGCTTTCTTGCAATGGCCATTATGCTCCTGCTAATCATCTTTGCGTCAATTCTTGCGTTATATTTTCTTAAATTGTTAATATATACACATCTACTATTGGCATGCCAAAAATTGGCATTATAAAGTTGTTCGTCATCATTCACGTGATTTTTGGCAATTCCGATCTATGCTTCCAGCAGTGTGACTTTGACTGTACAAATTTTTTCCCATTTTTTATGTACTTATTTTTGATGCTTCTTCTTCACTCATGAGTTTCGAGGGTGATTTTGTCTTCTATTCTTGGTACTCTCTACCATTCATTATTACAAAACATTCATTACAAGTATCAACCATCCTCTGTAAACAATGATGAATGATCCATGTAATGATTTGTCTTCGGCTGCTGGTCCACCATTACCACCTGTCCCACCATCATTGAAAATGCCGCATTCAATGAATTCTGCTAATGTTATGTATCCAGGAACAACGGCAGCTAGTCATCAGATTAATAATAACCAGATGTCACTTCAGATGAATATCTTGAATAAAGGTTTAGTCCCTGTCAATCCAGTAATTCCGCCTCCTCAAGTTCCAACAAATGTACCATACTCATCCACATCGGGATCGACTAATGGCCCATCGAATGCTGGACCATCATCATCATTACCGTCATCGAGGCCTACCTCAGCGGATGCTTGTCATTCAATAGTACATTCGTTGATGTGTCATAGACAAGGTGGTGAATCAGAAAGTTTTGCTAAACGAGCGATTGAATCTCTTGTTAAAAAATTGAAAGAAAAACGCGATGAACTTGATTCTCTCATCACGGCCATCACAACTAATGGTTCTATACATACGAAATGTGTGACCATCCAAAGGACATTAGATGGTCGTCTACAGGTTGCTGGACGAAAAGGTTTCCCTCATGTGATCTATGCTCGTATTTGGCGTTGGCCTGATTTACATAAAAATGAATTAAAACATGTCAAAACATGTAAGTTTTTCACTTTTTATTTTTATAAAATACACAATAGATATATAATTTTAACAAATTTTCAATGTACAATAGGTCAATATGCATTCGAATTAAAATGCGATTTCGTTTGCGTTAATCCTTACCATTATGAACGCGTGGTATCACCTGGACTGGATCTATCCAGTCTTACACTAACTAGCAATGAAGATGACAATCAACCAAATATAAGCAATGATTACCTTGTTGCTGGTACATTTACCTTTAATTATTTTCTAACAAAGCCTATATATTAAATTTTCAATTATATTTTCAGGCCCCTCAGTATCGAATGTGGTTCAACATTATCCTCAACAGAATCAAATAGGAAAATCTACTGATAAGAATTCATATCTATCTTCAACATCTCATTTTACGCAATCAGCACATTATAATGATAGACCTCCTACTAACAATAATATTGCTGATTATAGCCAACAGTCCAACATAAAGATCAAAACAGAGATTGAACCTTTATCATCTCAACGGATGAACAATGGACAGAATGCGAATACTTCTCCAATTCAAACAAACTCAACTGCTCATCTTCATCAAAAGATTCCACCTTCAATCGGCAGTCATCATGCCAATCAAATCGCTGCCCAAATGCCTCCACCATCCACTAACATGTCATATTCTGGTACTTCAGATGTTCCAAATGGGCAAGAACATTCGACACACAATGGAGACGTCGCTGGAATGGCCTCTCATATGGAATATTGGCCACAAGAAATGAATAATTCGCAAATAATACCACGTAATGCAACAAGTAACATCTCTCAAAATATGCCGTTATCAAATCAGCCATTGCCAGAATATTGGTGTTCGATCGCTTATTTTGAGCTTGATCAACACGTTGGAGAAACTTTTAAAGTTCCTTCAAACTTTAATTCTGTTACTATTGATGGATATGTTGATCCAAGTGGTGGCAATCGTTTCTGTTTGGGAGCACTTTCCAACGTTCATCGTGCTGAACCAAGCGAAAAAGCTCGTTTGCATATAGGCAAAGGTATTTATATGTTTGATTAATTATCATTTAATTCATAATATAATTCGATTTTATTAGGTGTTAAGCTTGATCTTCAAGGAGAAGGAGACGTTTACCTAAGTTGTCTGTCCGATCATTCTGTTTTTTTACAAAGTTACTATCTGGATCGTGAGGCTGGTCGACAACCAGGAGATGCTGTTCACAAGATTTATCCAGAAACATTGATAAAAGTTTTTGATCTTAAACAATGTTACCGTCAAATGGAACAACAAGCCAGTGATGCACACAACATTGCCAAAGCTAGAGCAGCTGCTGTTGTGGGTGTACAAGGAACTAATCTAGGTATATTGTATCATCGATCAAATGAAATTATCTTTATTCACTAAATCACTTGTTTTTTTCAGCTTTTCCAGCATCCGCATCTGGAATCGGTGTTGATGATCTTAGAAGATTGTGTATTCTACGCTTATCATTTGTCAAAGGTTGGGGCCCCGATTATCCAAGAAAAACGATCAAAGAGACACCTTGTTGGATTGAGATACATCTTCATCGTGCTCTACAACTTTTAGATGAAGTATTACACCGAATTCCTTTTCAAGATTCTCATGCAAATGAATGAATTATAAGCATGGATAATTCATTTTAAAAATTGATATAAAAACATTTTATTTCTCTGATTTGCAAATTTTTCAACAACAAAAAAAAATCATTGATTTTTCTCTCTTTTCATAATAATAATTTCTTAATGACAAATAATAAACTTGAACATTCATTCTCGATATCTAATGGATTTTATTTGATATGAAATGAATGATTGGCAAATGCTATGTGAAATAGATGCAAAAAAAAAATTTCTAGGCCACTAGTTGCTCGCTCAATGACTATAGCAAATGAATAAACGATGTTCGTTTTTCTTTTGCTAAAAAAATTTCACTGTTTGATGAATAGATTTTTCATTTTGCTATAAAATATGATGATGATCACTAAAGAAGAAATCCTAAATTTAATCCAAATTGCTCGTAATTCTTTAGTTTATAGCTATTGTCCTTATAGCCATTTTCCTGTCGCATGTGCATTACTTTGTCATGATGACACCATCTATACAGGTAAAATTGATCACGATAATATAATTTTTTAAAGATTGATTATTATTTATTTATATCACACAGGATGTAATGTTGAGAATGCAGCTTATTTTGGTTCGATCTGTGCTGAACGTACGGCCATTGTAAAAGCTGTTTCAAGTGGCCATAGAAAATTCAGAGCAATAGCTATTACATCGAATCTAATGAATGATATCTGTGCACCTTGTGGTAATTGTCGCCAATTCATGGTAGAGGTAAATGATGAAAAAATATTCGACAATGACAAAGCATCAAATGATTTAATAATTTTGTTGTATCTATCTATAGTTTGGTAAAGATCTGATTGTAATACTGGCCAATCACAATAATGATGAGTACAAACAATACACTATCAATGACTTGTTGCCTCATTCGTTTGGACCTGAAAATCTTACGGATTATTACAAATTAATAGCAAAATCATCATCATCATAATCATAATCATTGAAATATAATCATAAATAAAGAATCAATATTCTTGCGAATGGATTTCTAATAATTATTCTATTAATTACAAATATATTAGATTAAAATTGAATTAGAATTGAGATTTTCGAATCATGTCATCTATGACTGTGGCAAATTTTCTACACTAAAAGGAAACTGTACTGACACATGAACGGTTCAAAGGTTCAACGAGCTCCCGAATGCTGCCACTACAACAAAATCCCCAAACGTTTATGAATGTTTTATTTTGAAGCAAAAAAAATTTCAAGGGTTAAAAATTTTAAAATTAATTTCCATGATGATGATGACAAATGACTAAGAAGCAATAATATAAAAATAATATTATTAGTTATATGAATTGTGAAAAAAAACGATGAAAATTTATCAATAACAATCGATAGTGATTTGATTCATCGATGATTATAATAACAACATTAATTAACGGTGGCGCCAGACGTATGGCTTCCTTTTATTTTCCAATATTTTTTCAGCGGCTAAGGAGGTGGCGACACCTTCTCACATGACTGTAAATGTGTGTGAGTGTGTATGTGTGTGTAACAACGTGTACTGATTTTTTTTAGCTATTTCTTTTAGATCTATCATTTATGAACGGCATCAATCGTCGGGTACCACGCACGCAGCAAGTCATATCATAATCATTGTCGAACTTTGCTTGCATTTTGATCGTTGTGTTTGTGTGTGTGTGTGTTTTGTATGTGTATGTGTATGTGTATGCATTGTCCAACCAGAAGAAGCCAGCTATCCATCCATCCACATACCATAAGAAGAACCACGCCGTCGCGCACCTCTTCTCATTTCATTTGTTCATTGTTCTTGTTGGCTCTGTTTCTTGTTTTTTTTCACCCCTTATCGGCATTATTTTAGTTCCAGAATTCATATCATTAAATTTACCGGTAAGTAGACTAGTTATAATAAGAAAAATGAATCTTAATTTCAATATTTATCTCAAAATCATTTAATTAGAATTGTTTTCGCTATCAAGTTTTGTTAGCAATTTTTCTCCGGACCTTGATCAATTTTTTTTAAATTTGTAACAATAGAAAATCATGGATGAAGGTGACGATTATTCGGCCGCTAATGCAGGTGCATCAAAAACCTATCCAGTACAATGTTCATCACTTCGTAAAAACGGTTTTGTCATGATCAAAGGTCGTCCATGTAAAGTCATGGAAATGAGTACCTCAAAGACTGGTAAACATGGTCATGCTAAAGTACATCTTGTTGGTTTAGATATTTTTACCAATAAAAAATATGAAGATATTTGCCCCTCAACTCATAACATTGATGTACCAAATGTTTCTCGCAATGATTTCCAAGTATGAATTTTTTTCCATTATTGAGCTCCATGACTAACGTATTTATTTCCACACCTTACAGCTTATTGATGTTAGTGACGATGGATTCGTAACACTTATGAATGATAAAGGCGATACTCGTGATGATCTTCGTCTTCCAGAAGCAGAACTTGGTCAAAAGATTCGAGAAGAATTTGGCAAAGACGACACCACTGTCATCGTAAGTCAAATTTATAGATATAGAAATTGGTGCAATTCATGCTCAATAACGGTGACTAATGTTTTAATTTTTTTTTCACACAAACACACACCATTCTTAGGTTACCGTCATGTCTGCTGTCGATGAAGAGGCTATAATCGCTTGCAAGAACACTACCAACTAAATCGAATGTGGATGAATGATGATGATGGAAATTAAGAAGAAAAAGCCAATGAAATGAAAGATATATAATTTTTATTATTTAAGATAATTCTTTTTTATTTACAATTATTTCATTACATACCAGACATTGCTTACAATTTGTAGTATGTTATGTTGGGTGTGAATACACATTGAAATGATTGTAATCTGAATGAGAGATGAAAAAACTTTATAAATGAAAAATTAAGAAAAAAATATGATTTATAAAAAAAATAAAATGCTAAATCTATGATGGATTTTTTTTTATAAAAATTTTTACTTGTCAAATTATTTTTTGATTCTTCATTTTTTTTCCATATATGATTCTATTTCGATTATTATTCTGATCGTTAAGCAATTTTAAAATTAAAAATTAAATTAGATGCTTGCTCGATTCAATTGTATTTCCTTGTATATACTTGTTGATTCTCTGTAATACCAGATGGAACTAAGATCGACTTTGATGATTATTTTTGAGTTAATATGTTGCTATATTTGTTACGGAGAAAAGTATAAAAAATTTAATGTCCATTGTCGCAATCTTGCTTTTTTAGCTTTAATATACAGTGAAGCTACCATTTTAAACCATTTGATGATGATGATTGTTACCATTAAACTGTGTATTCATAAATAAACAACAACAATCATCAACATAAAATCGTCATCATCGTTGAACAACAAAAGAATTTCATCAACAATCAAGTCGAAGCTATGACCATATGAACGATTAACTCTATACTCTATTGAGTAATGTTTAATGTTAATTTTAAAACTACTTTCGCTATAATTTTTTTTTCTCTTTATGTATACACTTGTAGCTTGGGTTTTATTCGTATATCTTTGCGAACAATACGGAAGACAATATATTAGCTTGAGAACATCAACAACATCACAGAGGTAACTAATATTAACTATGTTATTGTTCATATTGCTTTTTTTGTATATTGTCCGTTGCCAATGTCCTGTCAATCGGTCGATATGCGTTTTCTATATTCAATCGGTTGATCGATTTGGTTAATTAGTTTTCTGCATGAATAAATTGCTACAAACAAAATATATATTTTCAATGAATGTATTTACCATTCAGATCCCTAAACGAAACCAATTTGGATAAGATTCATTGGATTAACAAAGAATCATTTGTGCATCGATTTCGAAAAAAAATGTATTCACTACTATCAATGCTGAATAAAATTATCTGACAAATATACTGTTGGCATTAAATGCTTCTGTGTCCAATATAAGCATAAACCGACAAACATAAACAAACAGCCCCCCGAAATTGTTCCTTATCGTTACAAAAATTGTAGTTGATTTTTTTCCTTTGTTTTTCCTGTAAATCACCATTTTATTTGGTCAGCCTGTTCAATTTCGAGTCAAGTAATTGTGTGTTTATATAAAACTATGGATACGATTGTCGATCCTGTGGAATCGTTGCGTGATTCACCACAATTCAGGTAATTTTAAAGAATTTTATTTATTCTCTTAAGATTTATTTTTTTTCATTAAAGGATCACATTGGATAAATATGAATCACAAATTGATCTTTTTGAAAAAACAATTACTGAAGTAAGCGAATCCTTTTAAATGATTACAAATTCGAAATCTAATTGACTTGATATGAATTTAGGTATTGAAACAATGTTCATCGATGATTGAAATAGGCAAACAATACAATCGAGTTAAACAGTTAGTATCTTCTAAAATTCTCGACAAACTTTCAGATAACAATTTGTCAATTTCTCCACCAGTAATTTTCTTTCATCATTGGTTAATCTCTGTCATTGTTTCAATGATGAACCCGATATATCCAAATTGATTAGTCGTTTTATTGAGCCATTATATGAAATAAATAAATACGAAAATATCCTCAATGAACAACATAACCAAAAATTTCAAGAAAATCTTTCCACTTTTCTACATAGTGATATCGGCACGATCAAAGAATTAAAACGACGTTTTCAGAAACGTAGCGATGATCTAGATCTGGTATTCACACGCCATTCACAAATACCAAAGAGTAAACAATCAGAATGGAAAGATGCATGCAACATGTTAACAGCTACGAAATCTTGTTTTCAGCATTTAACATTGGACTATGTTGCTCAATTAACATTGTTTGTTAGTAGAAGAAGACATATTGTTCTTGATTCAGTAAGTTCCAATTCTTTAAGTATTGATATTCATTTCATCATTCATTTCACAGTTATTGGCATTAAGTACAGCCCACGGAACACATTTTCATCAAGCGTATGAAACGTTTGACGACAGGAAAGACTTCAATTCAGAAATTGCCAGTCATGTGAGTTATTCGATAATAAATAGAATAATCACTAAATATTTTCTATTTTATAGCTGATAAAGTTGCATTCGGAGAGTAACAAATTGGAAAAATCTTTGAACAATCGACATCATTTAGTTCAACAACATGAAGCAGTCCCGCCTTTAATTCGTAATGGTGAGACAATTCGTATCGAGGGTTATCTGTTTAAACGAACCTCGAGTACATTCAAATCATGGAATCGTCGCTGGTTCATAGTTCAGAATCACCAATTAGTTTATCAGAAACGGTCAAATGAAAAAGAATTGGTTGTCATGGAAGAAGATCTTCGACTTTGTAATGCTCGTCCTGCTGTTGAAATCGATAGAAGATTCTGTTTTGAAGTTATGTCCCCAACAAAAAGCCACATACTTCAAGCCGAATCTGAAGAATCTTGTAAACAGTGGTTGGCTGCTTTACAAGCTGGTATCGATGCTGCTTATAGCAGTAATCGTACATCTGATTCAACTCTGACTAATAATAAAAGAAATAGTTCTACTTACCTCGAATCATCCTCGTTAGATTCTGTGTGTACCAATACATCCACGAATAGTAATGGGTCTAATCCGACTCAAACCATTGCGAACAATACAACTATCTACACGAATCCCAACATATCATCCTCCACTTCAAACCACGTTTCCTCTAGATCTGATGCGACAAAAATTTTCTTCATAGCTGGTAATGATAAATGTGCTGATTGTGGTTGTAACGATCCCGTATGGGCAAGTATTAATCTTGGCATTACTTTATGCATCGAATGTTCGGGTGTCCATCGGTCATTGGGAGTTCATGTTAGTAAGGTACGATCACTCACTTTGGATCATCTTGATTCGGAACAAATTCAAGTGATGCTTGGTTTGGGCAACACTGTCATCAACAAAATATACCTTCAGAAATGGCCATTGTTGGAATTACAGAATGTTGAACATAATGATTGTAATTCAAGCGAAGATTCTACAGAATTAAATTCCGAATCTCTGTCAAGTGAGCAACGGGAAAATGAGAATCTCTTATCCGTACCACCGAATCAACCAAATACTCAAGTTGTTCTGGAAGAAATCAGTCCGAAAAGTGATCGTAATAAACGTGAAAGATGGATAAAAGCCAAATATCTTGACAAACTATTTGTCAATAAAAAAATAAATATCGATTCAACCAAAGACAAAAACAATATGTTTGATGTAGATTTTAATTATATTAGTAATTTTCAGTCTAAGATACTCCACTTTATGGCAAATCAGAATTCGAATGATTATGAAAATTCAAATCAAATTGATTTAAGCGGTTATTGTTTCAACTTGTTACTTTATGAAGCATCTGCTCAAAATGATTTGAAAGCAATGGCATACGCATTAGCAGCAGGTGCTTCAATCAATTGGCAAAATCCCGAAGATCATAATCGGACACCATTATTTCGGGCTGTTTCCAAAGGAACGATGACCACTTCGGAATATTTGCTTTTGAATGGAGCCAAATGTAATATTCAAGACGATAGCGGATGTACCCCGTTACATCATGCTACTCGAAATTCAAACACTGGGTAAATGTATTGTTATTATGATTCATTTTTTTCATATTTTTTCATCCAATATTCTAGACAAGTGTGCCTACTTTTGAAACGTGGAGCCGACCCGTCGATCAAAAATCAAATAAAAGAGGATGCTTTGTCGATAGCATTGGATAAAGCTTGTGCCGATATTGTCACAGTGTATGTATATTGGATGAGGTTAAAAATTCTTATATAAGCAATAATTATTATACTTTTTTCATAGCTTGCGTTTGAAAAAATTGAAAGATGAAATGAGAAACGATGAACTCGGTTCTCAAAGCGATGATACATTCAACGAAGTTGTCCGAGATTTCTCACGTTACCAAATCATGTCCGAATCATCGTCGAAGCAGAATGAAGATCCTCATTAATGATGAAAAATTGTGATATAAATTGTAAAAAATTGAATACGATTTGATATAAAATGGAATTTATTTGATATAATAATTATTAAAATGAATTTTTTTTACGGGACATCCACTTTGCTTCGATTAAACTGTATGGGTGGTAATTGATATTTACCACAATGACAGAATTCAGCATTGATAAAATTGTAACAACCAACACGAGCTTTACAATTGTTGGTTGGACAAGTCAATCGTCCTTTGATCCATTCACCGACATCAATTTGTTCTTGAATCCATTGTTCGTTGATTTTTCGATCATCCACAAATATCACATTCGATGATCGATCATAACATTCATTCTGTTGATCATCACTAACATTAATTAATTTTTCATTATGACATGTAATTGTAGATTCTTTAGAAAATAAACAACATCTGCATTTGCGACATCGATAATTATTGGACATTTTAATGATTAAAAAACAGGAACATTTTTTTCTAACCAAAAATGCGTTTGAGCTACGTTGCATTCAAACATAACGTATACACAATGAAGAATTAAATTATACAAAAAAAAAATTGAAAAAAACTAATTTTATTTATTCATCAATCGACCAGTCACATTGTTAAACACGGTTATACAAATTGTGTACGATTTGTTACCACAATTGAAAAGCCTATGATCTTTTCTCAATAATTACTTAGAGGAATTGTTAGCAATTTAGAATTTCGGGCGAGGATGTTCATAATTCTGGTGATCGATAGATGAAAGATATTTGAATTGCTTTTTCTCGTATGCTTGTTGTGTTTCGAAATTTTTCAATACCCGAACATCCGGTCCGCTTATTTGATGGTATGATTGATAAATGGCCAAACTGGGACCGACCAAAAAAGCAAGAAACGCTACCGGCCATACATGATAAGCTTTGACACCGTCCCGAATAAATTGTTTGAAACCAGACATGTTCTACGATGGATCAAAGACAATTAAAACAAATGATAAATATTATTCGAAGGACAGATTTACTTGTTGGAAAATAAAGTTTCGATTTCGATTAGAAAGATTTTTGAAGATTGAAAATAATAACAGTGAATTTATTGTCTACTCAACCAAACAAAATAAGACAACATACAACATAGGTCAAACGAAAAAGACCGGTTTATATGCTGAAAGTTGTATACAATAGTATAAAATTTCGAATCATATTTATATTATTATTACATTTATGAATCAATCTAAAATTCTTATTCAATTTTTTTGAACTAAGTATATCAAATTTAATTAAGTAATTTTAATTAAGCAATATTATCGAGTGAATATTGAAAAAATGAGCAAATTGAATCACATTTTTTTCTTCGTTATGGTTCGTGATACCGGACAAATGGATTTTTTCATAGAAAGACACTGAGATAATGAATTCACAAAATTTTTCCCATTACATGTTTTCGAATTAACAAATTTTTCATTCTTCATATGATCACATTTAAATTCAGTTTGGCATTCCAGTTTTCTTTGTAAACCTAAATTTTGGAAAAATTCTCTTTCACATTCGTAGTCAATTTCAAAATCAGCCATCGATGGTCGTATTTTTATATCCAAATCATTTTTACCATCGGCAAAAGCTTTTCGTTGCATATTTTTACATCGATGTTGAATAAAATGATCAAAAGTGACAAATTTTTTCCAACACGATAAACAACAAAAATGGAAATATTTTTTGTTCACTTTTAAACGAGTAAGAATGACATCAGAATCTTTAGTCTTCATGAACAGAAAATTATGAACAATGCGATAATGAGATTGTAGTTTTTCCTCTTCGCGTGCAATTCTTTTTTTACAAATTTTGCAACGAATCCATATAGGAGAGGTTAATTGTTTTATCTGCTTTTTATTCGCAGAATCAAGAATGATTGTATCACAATCAAATGTCGTTGCAAATTGAGAATGATCACCAGAACATGGTTTATTAAGAGTTCTCAACAATCTCTTTGTCGAACGGCTGGATCTTGGTTTAGTAATTTGCGAATCATTTTTATTAGTTTTTAATGAATGAAATTTTCTTCTATTACTTGAGGGTTGAATCACGATTTTCTCCGTCACATCTTCAATGTTTATAATTCTAGCATTTCTGATATTTTCTTTGGGCGTTGAGATATAATTGATAGAGATATTTTCTGATTCATCCAAAATAGGACTGAATTTTCGAATCTTAAGTTTATTTGCAAATGTTGATGAATGCTGAAATGACGATGGTCCTAAAAAAAAAAGTTTATTGAAAAAGAAATTGAGAATTTAAAGATTTTAATTTAAAATCTAACCGATATTAATAGAAATACAGTCTTCAAACATGATTTTTCCGATATATTGGAAATTTATATTCAATGATGATCAACAGGTTGCTGAATATTATAAATGTATTTCACAACTGAATAAAAAAAATGGATAAAAGCCAAATATTTTGACAAGCTATTTGTCAACAAAAGAATTAATATTGAAATTCAACCAGAGGCAAAAACAATATGTTTGATGTAGATTTTAATTATATCAGTAATTTTCGTTCACGTACATTATTTGAAGACAATATGCATTGCTCGAAATTACAAACGAGCCAATAATACAGTTTGCGCACACTCGTCTTGTAAGCGGATTATTTAAAAAAAAAATAATCACAATGAATTTCAAAATGAAAGCTCAAAAAACAATATTGAATAAAAACGATTGAATTTATTTGATAGTCAATAAACATTAATATAATCACAGAAATAAAAATTTTTGTACTTAATATATAGGTCGAGCATTGGAATCTAAACACATGCATTTACATTTACAGCCAGCAACTGGGCATAATGTATTCTCCGTGAACCATTCGAGAAGATGTACAGAATGACCACCATGTCGACATGTTTGGCACCAAGTAAACCAAGATGAAAATGGTGATAATTTGCGATTACTTTTCTCTAGAATGAAACCAGAACGCCAATGAATACCGGCTGGCGTGCCCAATTGTGTAAGACATAGTGAACATCGTGGTAATGTCTTGCCACAACTGGAACAGCTACATATTCTTAATTTATTCGATGATGAATTGGCACTAGAAGCTCTGTTGTATTGATGGTGAGAAATTGGTGGTGGATGTGATATTGGTGATTTGGTATTGGAATCATTGTGAGTATATGTAGATATCGGCGATCGACAATAATTACAGACGATATAGATTTGTTGTCGTGGTTCTTCCGAATAATTCAGACTATCATACCATTTTAAATCGAATTGAGCTCGAACATTCCACAATCGCCAACAGTCGAGTAATTGCTTGTAGTTATCAATCCAAGTTTTTACAATTGGGATTTTACAAAGAGAATGTGGTAATGTCCATAATAAAATTAAACTGATCGTTTGAACATCGCTAGTGCTTTCGATGTACCTTCTAAATAATTCTAATCCATCTTCAGTTAGTCCAGTAAACAAAATTGCTCGTAAATCATTTTTTTCAAATAAATTGTTTTGTACTCGAATTAAAAAATCGACCAACTGAAAAATAGAATAAAATTTATAAATGATGAGCGTAAAAAAATTTGCAAAAACATTTATACCTCTGTGTCAGGTAAATAAAGACATGCAAATGCCACACGATCAGCAATATCTAACTTTTCATCGTTCTTGTAGGATAAAAAAAATGTCAATTTCTATACAACAACAGGAACATTATTGGAAGACTTACGATAATTTCGCTGTATTTTCCTGCATCCGAATTCGAATCAACTGAGACAAAATTGAAAATAGCTTTGATGCATGGATCATCGAGTTTAGGTTTCAATTTAGAGCATATATCTTCCCAAATGTATAGATTTCCATTCGATTTATCTAGCCGATCAACATTAGCGATGAATGTTGATAAAGCCAAAGCTATGGCGTTCAATGAAACTGCTTTATCAGCTTGTTTGCCATTAGAATGGAGATCATTAGATTTATGATTATTACAAGAATTTTTGTTGGCAAAATCTGATGCACGGTTTAAATATTCAATAGCTTCACTGACTCTTCCATTAAAAACCATAATGGCTGCAAGCCGAGTGTAATTATGTTCATTTTCGTTAGTCGAAATGAAATAATTACATGGAATATTGGGATCCAATTTAGGTGTAATAGTTAATTCATCAAAATCAAAAGATGGGGCAAAACTGGTAGGAGAATATCTATCACTCCAGCCGCAATATTGAAGAGCTTTAGCTCTCCCAAAACTGATGTAGATTTCTTTTTTACTTCAGGTTTAAAAGCTTAAATTAAAAATATGAAAATCAATAATTTTTATCATTACCTTAAAGCCATTGGAAAATTGGTGGGAAAAATAAGTTCACTAGAATGCAAAAGTTTTTTTGGAGATTCTTTTCCGAAAAGAATGCCCATAATTCCAAAGAATCGCTCTGTATTACGAACGGAAAAAATATCGTATGTAATTTCGTCATTGCTCGATTTCATAGGTTGGTTTTTCTGATCATTTCTGTTTAGATGCATGAAAATCCATTTCCAAACAAAATAAAGGGGACTATCTTTGCAAAACATTTGCCATAATTTATCAACCTATGGAAAAATGGTTAAAATCAGGATTAAAGCAGTCTAAAAAAATATACCGAAAGGCCATAACCGTCGATAGCTAATTTACGCATACGAACAGCAATGTCATCAATCTCCTTATAAATTGAATCTCTTGAATCGATGCATTGTAATATTTTTTTGCCATGAGTCCAAATTATCTCGGAGATAGGTGACCAATTAAGCGTGATTCGATCGACTACTTTGAAATCTCTGATCACGCCATTAGAAGTGATGACTGTCATCTGAAACTCGTTAGTTGGATGCCAAGAAAAAGACGATAAGATTTGAGAATTGTTCACTGAAAAAAATATAAGAATCTTAGATTAAAAAATTCGTTGAAAGTGTTACCTTCGAACGGAGTAATATCGCGTTTTAAAATAGATGGTTCGGGAAGTTCATTGAAATTTGTATATTGTTTGTGGTCATACAATCTTATACTGTTAGTGTCTTTCAATAATGCAGCCAATATATTGGAACGGGTAGGACACCATTCCAATTTGACAAAACTTGAAGGTTCAGGTCCTATTGTGACAAGAGGACTTTCGAAAAATCGCAAATCCCAAACATAAATATAATTCTATAAAGAATGATTATAAAATGTATTTGAAGACTCATATGAATGATTGAGTTTACTTACTTCGAAAAACGAAGCAAAACGATAGTCAGAATGAGTATCTGGGGTTATACCGTAAACTCCTTTGGTAGAGGCGCAATGGCCTTGATTAGACGATTCTTTGGCATCTATCAATTTAATATGTTTGTTGTTCATGCCGCAAATAAGAGAACGGTTTCGAAACCATCTGAGAGAATGAACTTGATCATTAAGAGCAGATTGGTATAACGGTTTGGTTGTTCCAGATATAGTTGCACTTTGGGCAGCTTGATTGTAATTGATTCCAGTGTGAGCGATATCCCAGATCATTACAGAATAATCATTTTTATTACGTTCAAAACCAGAGGCCAACTAAAAAAAAAGCAAATGAGTTAAAATTCATTACAACAACAAATTATCATTCACCAGGTTATTGTCGATTTGACAAAAATCCAAAGCATTACATGAACGAGGATATTCTTGTATGAATTCTTTTCCTACTACATTTGAATGATGGTATCCTGCATCCGATTCTTTTCCAGTCGAATTAGAGCTTGAATCGAATGAATTCAAAACGATTTTGCCGTTTTGATATCCCAAAGCATATAAAACATCGGCACCATGTTTGAGTAATCGATTATTGCATGCCATTGACTATATTACATACATTTATCAGAATAAATATAAAATGAAACGAAATAATCTGATAATGAGCTAAAACCAACCTTAATTCGGAAGGCAAATTCGGAACGGAATTCAGATTTAGAAGTGAGAATTTGTGAAAAACTTAATTCAGATAATTTAATTCCGCCAAACATTTGAGGTAATTCAGTGAATGTGTCCACAACATATAATTTTAATTCATTGCCGAATGTAACAAATCTGTCGGGATATAGTGACCATATTAGATCGGTATTGGCCATGGACATGATTTTTGAATCTTCTGCTAATATCGCCATTTTGTAGTTAAATGACTAACAATTATTAAATTGTTTTTTTGTTAAAAACTAGATTGATACATTATGCTGTAAAACACATGTCTTTTGTCAAAACAAAAAAGTGACCAAACATTACATCATTCACAATGTATGAAACGAAATAATCTGATAATGAGCTAAAACCAACCTTAATTCGGAAGGCAAATTCGGAACGGAATTCAGATTTAGAAGTGAGAATTTGTGAAAAACTTAATTCAGATAATTTAATTCCGCCAAACATTTGAGGTAATTCAGTGAATGTGTCCACAACATATAATTTTAATTCATTGCCGAATGTAACAAATCTGTCGGGATATAGTGACCATATTAGATCGGTATTGGCCATGGACATGATTTTTGAATCTTCTGCTAATATCGCCATTTTGTAGTTAAATGACTAACAATTATTAAATTGTTTTTTTGTTAAAAACTAGATTGATACATTATGCTGTAAAACACATGTCTTTTGTCAAAACAAAAAAGTGACCAAACATTACATCATTCACAATGTACGTGTATGAAAGAATGCAGATTTTTTATAATAATATTTTATTATTATTTAATTCAAAATCAATCAATCAAAAAATTTATTCGAAAAAAGTGATAACAATCAAAAAACAATTAATTAATAATCAATAAGGAAAATCACTGTGTCTTGCAGCCATCTTGTTTGTTCATTTTTCTCTGCGGCTTATCTAATGATGGCATACGCCATTGTCCTTGAACAGGAGCATTATTTGTCGATGATTGGTCATTGGCTGTCAATGGATGAATGCCTAATGAATCATTGTATTGGCGATTAGGGTGCTGTGGATGATGTGGTGGTAATAAATTATTCGATGTTCTACTTCGGATGGATTCTTTCCAGATCTGATGATCTGGATCAACATTTGTTGTTGTGGGTTTATAATTATGTATCAGCGACATATCACGGGGAGGCAGTGGTGGAGCATAATCGTCGGATTTTTGTTGTTGTTGATTATATAAATTTCGATTCTCAGAGCTAGCATTTGATGATCGAGATGATGATGTACATGTAGATGGGGTATTTCGAATATATCCACTAGTCATTCTAGATGTTGAATGTAGTTTTTCCAAAGAATCTCGATATGATCGATGTGTAGGTTGAAAAGTTGGTGATCCAGTTTTATTTACGAATTCAACCCTGTCATCATTATCATCATCGTCCACGCAAGACTCTGTAAGGTTCCCTTGTGACGAGGAACTTTGTGATTGTTTAAGGCGACGTTTATAAGTTGGATCCAAATCAATAGCAATATTATGAAAGCTTTGAGCTAATGTTGTTTCCGAAAATTCACTCATTACATTGTATGGTTCTTCATATGTTTGATCATGTGGTGATGTAAGATGATTTTCCGGAATATCATAATCATTTTCAACTTTACCTGTTTCAATCGATGTACTCTCCAATGAAGTGACTGGTGTGGAAGTACGTTGGTAATTACGATCTTCTTTTCGTAGATCAACACGAAAATTTGAATTCTGATCACATGATTGATTCAAACGTTGATTATTCCTGAGTTTTTCCTTAATTTTTTTATAACGTTCTTTCTCCATTTTTTGCAACATTTTAGCTATTTCAAAATCTTGCTGCTCAATTAATACTAATTTTTCTTTTTCTGGATTTCGACTTCGTTTCAATTCCTGGTGTTGAAGTAATTGAGCAATTTCAGCATCTTGTTCTTCTAGAAAAAGTTTGAGCTCTTCTGGATTGAGGCCAGGTGGTGGAGGCATACAGAATTCTGAAAGATCTAATTCTTGTTCATCTTCAGTCATGATTCGGTGATTTTTCGATCGAGCATATCGATCTAATGTTTTTTGGTTGATATTCGCTTGTTGTTCATGAGGATTTTCCTTTTCTAGTGAACGAAAATCTGTACCGATTTGCGCTGATAATCGTTCTACTTGTTGCTTTTCCTTTTCGATTCTTTTTCGAACTTGTTTAGCCTTTTCTTTTTCCATTAATTTTTTAGCCAATTTAGCATCAGCTTCTTCGGCTGCCTTTTTTGCTTCTTCCTCTTCCATTAATAATCGATGTTCGATTTTTCGAGCCATCTTTTCATCGTGATCAATTTGTTCCTGAAGAAAATGTTTATATTTTCGTTGAGCTTCCAGAATTTCATGCTGCTGTAAATGTTTGGCTAATGGAATGTCTTTACGGACCAATTGATTTTTCGTTCGATTTTCATTGTAATGTTGTTCAACTTGAGATGATAAATATTTCAATTTTAATAAAACAATACTCTAACTTGATTAAATTTACTTACTTTCTTTATTTTGTAATTGATATGCAAGATTCTCATCTTCGAGGATAAGCCATTCTTTACAAACTAAAAAATTCAAGATAAATATGAGATCTATTAATAAATTATAAAATTTTACCTTTACCAACACGACCTTCTGGAATGTTGGTTACATCTTTACTGTTTGACGGTTGATCCGAAATAGATTTTATTTGACAATCAGCCATAGTTGTTGATAATTAAGCAGCTCATTTACATTTGTTGTATATATGAAAATTTACAAACAAGATGATTTATTATAATGGAGATAGGAAAAAAAATACAAACGAGTGATCACACTAAATGGATTAAATTTCATTAAAATGATTCAAGTGACATCGATGTCCATAGTTTTGACAATCAAACAGGAAAATCTGAATGGTTGTTTGTACACTTTTAACTAATAACAATGATTACAACAATTTTATGATCGTATAATGCACGTATTCAAAGACCAGTATAACAAAGGCTATGACCACTTTGGTATGTTTGTTTCTTTGACGACGTTCGACGAACGAACAAAATTTCTCTTTTCGAAGCTGAATAGCTTGTGTCAACTTATCTGCAATAAAGCGCGCGTTGCGTGGTTTCTTGTTTCAAGACACACAATTCGATTGCTTCGCCTACGAGTACGGATCACAACAACAAAAAAACTCCTCTGAAACAACTTGGATGATTCACAACCAATGAATTTCGACAACTACGACGACAACAACAAAAAACTTGATTCGGCTATGAACGCTCCATAAAAAAAAACCTGCTTCATCAGGTTATCTTCATTACCTTGTCAAACTATTTGCCTTGTATCATATATCTATGGCAATCATGAATGAGCAACAATCATTTCAGACTACATTAAAATTTTATTTCATTCAATTCAATTTTTTTCGGTTTATATACAATTGTTGATCAAATATCACATTCATTATTTGTATTGTAGAGTATTCTAATATTCATAATTGAGTTCAATTCTATATTGTATACAATTACCAATTTACTGATTTTTCAATATAAATCATTCAATTTCAAAATAAAAGTATACGTATCCACAATTTTGTGATACAAATATAATCGATGGAAGAAAATCGATGAATTCGCCTGTCGCCAGCTTTATATATTGTGTTTATTTTTTCAATCATAAAATCAAAAAATTGGCTCAACGGTTTTTATTTTCAGTACCAAATTCAATCTAATCATTCAAAAATGGTCTGCATATCCTGTTTTATTGCACCAATCGTTCTGTTTATTTGGTATAAATTCATTTATCCGATTCTACAACCATTGATTGATCGATGGATCGGTAATTATCAATTACCACAACCATTTGCAAATCTTTCTTGTCCATTGCCCGAGAAAAAGAATGCCGATAAAAAATTAGAATGCCCAACACAAACGACATCTGATTCAATATCTGGCGATGAAATAGAATCTACCAAAAAGATTTCTTAATCATACCAATCTGTGCAAAAAAAAAATGAATTGGACCAAATTCTAAATAAAAAACTTTATTTGTTATCATTACAAGAAATCCAAGATTTGTTGTGTTATTTGTAAATCCTTTTTTTTAATGAGAAAATGTAGCCGACTAGTCTAAGTAATAATAATAATAAAATAAACCACAATTATTGGAAAAATAATAAAAAAAATTGACTACTAAAAATATCGCCACATATAAGGCAATATTTTTTTTCATTATTACATTTAACAATCGATATTTAACCATTGTGAACTGATTCAATGATCAAATGATTGTCGATTGATGATCCATTGCTTTTCGACAATTGAACAACCACTTGATTATTCGAGCATTACGTTCGACGACAGATGGTCCATTATGAAAGTTGGCCAACAGATTTGTACATGAACGAGATGATGCTAGGTTTTGTTGATGAAGCATCAGATTTTCGAATGTCAATTTCGAAGTACTGCCTCCATGATGATGAAAAATTCTTCTTCGTTTGCTATTATGGGTATGACTGAATGATGGTTCATCAACCGATAGTTGACTTGATGAATTAAAACTAGAAAATTCATTCGAAATTGTCGATTTACTTGAGTTTGAATCATCGTAACTTGGATAAATCATTTCATTGTTGTGATGATTTTTTACATTATAATTATCCTTATTATTATTAGTATGATGATGCATTTTTCTTTTCATTGAATCATCATTGGATGAGAAGCTTATATTCCGTTCATTTCGTTTAGTTTCCATTCGGTTATCGTTATTATTCTGTTGAAGATTAGAATTCAAACATAGATTTTTGAATAATCGGTCAATGTCCTGTTCTTTTGGATTAGAATGATTGTTCAAAAATCTTTGATTATTTGATAATGGAGATATGTCCGATTTAGATCTCATTACAGAAGTTGATAGATTTAAATTTTCTTCTTGTTTCCAATCATCACAGATAGATGGCAGCTGTGATGGAAAATTTGTAAACTTATTTTCTTTTTTCAATGATGATGATGATAATAATAATTCATCGTTAATTCTTTTCATTTTTTCTGGTGAAGATGAAATGTTATATGGTTCGGAAAATATAGAACATAATGATGATGATGATGATGATGATGATGATGTGGTGGTGGTGGTTTTCGTGGATTGTGTTGCTGATGATGACGAATGAGATGATGATGATGATGATGATGATGACGAGCCTATGTATTTAAGTTCTGCCCGATAGATATCATTTTGTTGTATGATTAAATCATCGGATTCACAGTTACTTCGTGGATCATCATTTTTTGTTATAATAACATCTTTTGAAATCCGGTTAGGCTGGATAGTTTCGCCAATCATGTTATCCAAACTAATCAATTCTCTTAATTGCAATTCCAAATTGCTAGTACCACCTGTTGAATTTTCAGATAATTTAGGACTGATTCGTTTTTTGACCAGATTATTTTGATCTGATTGTTTTTTAATTTTATTCAAATGACTATTGATTTTAGTGATTAAACTTCTATTATCCGAATTGTTTGAACCATGATGAATTTCAGCTATCAATGAATTGGATAATGAATTAGTTGTTTGCTTTGATCGAATTAAACTAGTAGCTGTAGATGTTTCCATTTGAACAATTGATTGAAATGGTGATTGCCGTTCTCCATAATCCAATCTATCTGATTGATTAATAAAACGATTGATCGTCATATCCGATGGCATACGGCCAATGTATTTGCCTTTCGATTCGGCTAGACGTTCGGAAGCACTTTTTCGTCTTATTACTTTGGATAGAAACAAAAAAAAAAATGAAACAAAAAGAAAAACAAAAAGAAATTAATTAAAAATTTTGAATTTTTTTCATTTCTCATTTTTGAAATATGAATAAATTTTTCCTGATCATATCGTTTTTTTTCCAAACAATTCATCTGATAAAAAGAAATAAAAAGTGACAGAAAAAAAACAATAAGAAGAAAAAAAAATATCTATAGTATGTGTATCATCATCATCATAGAACGAAAAATGATCATTTTGACATCAAGCTTGATTAATATTATCATCAAAGTCGGTGAAAAAATGGACCTTATTTTTGGGTTATGATGATGATGTTTTTTTTTTAAGAAAAAAAAACTTTGATCATTGTCTCAAAATGAAACCATTATCCTCTATATATATTCGTATATAAAACAATCGGTCTACACACACACACACAGTTTAACGATTTCGTTACTAATTGATGTATATATCAATAGAACTAACTGGTAGTTCAACAATCATTTTAAAACTATCACTTTAGATTACGTACACATGTATAGACGAAAAAAAATATCCATTATATTTGAAAAAAAGTGAATGGAAAACAAGAAAATGAGATGTTCCAAGAAAATATATATACAGAAATTATTTTCACTAAAAAAAAGTGAAGGAGAAAAAAATGGCCACACACAAAAAAAACAAGTTATTGTCTCAAAGTATCATGAAAAATGATTTTATCATCATCATCATCATCGTCATCAACAACAACAATGACAACAGTGATGCTATAGCATCAGTTATTGGGATTGAATAATGACAAAAAAAAATGTCGGAATTCATTGAGATTCAAAATGAAGAACTTAAAAAACTTAAATTCGTTATCATTATCATTATAGACTACTACTGTACCTATAGATATCGGTCTATTGTGTTTGTGTTTATGTTTGTGCATGTGTTAGAATAAGGTAACAAGAAATAATATATTTTTTCTTTTCAAAGAATTCATCATCGTTCTCCTTTTTTTCGTTTTTTTTGCAGTTTATTTTGTATTGTTTGTGGTGAGACTACATTCTTATCTATGAATTTGATCATCAAGTACCATCGTTGAAAGTTTTTTTTTCGGTCGGTCGGTCCATGATGATGATGATGATTGCGATGATGAGGTGAGATTCGGTGAAGAAAATGAAAGATATCTGAAAAAAATAAAAGACTTTTCGGGATAAATATAATGGACAAATATGGCGTAAAAATATGAAGCTACCCGACTGCTGCCAGGTTTTTTTTCCTTTTTATTTTTTGTTTGTCAAGAGGTGTGAGAAGAAAAGATGAGGAGATGAGATGAGAGAAAAAATGAAAAAGATTCAGGTGATGCTCGGTGAAATGTGGTCGAACAACAAACCAACAAACCAAAAAGACAATACTATAAGCATCATGATGATGATGATGGAAGAAGACAAGGTCAATTCGACCAATAAATCAAACAATCACGCTGGAAAAGGCGAATGAATATTACGTAAAAAAAATAAATAAAGGTAAACCTCTCTCTCTCTCCCTTTCTCATATACACTCTTAAACAAATTTAAAGCAGAGGGAGTGAGTGAAAGATAGAGGTAAATCGCCAATTCAAAAGCCTTGTCCATTTTTTTCTTTCTTGATTTCTGATGAGCTTAAAATAGCATCAAAATTCTACAATTATATATACACCAATTTCTATGATCAGAAATTATTTACGGGGATATATACAATATGAACAAAAAAAACCACCGACACATTTAAATCTAATTCAACATCATCATCATCATCATCATTGCATATATTGATCAAATGGATAGTTATCAACCATTTGCTTGCCCAGGTAAAAAACGAAAAATTGCATAATCATGTTAATCACTATTATAAGGCCTATTTATATTTCACGTATTTCAATGCTAAGGTTCATTTTAGTTTTTTTTTACTGTTTTCATTATGGATGGATTATCTAACTTTAGATATAATCAAGTCGATGATGTTTTTTCTTTTATGTCGATTATCACCATTTCATTTATTTATTGTAAATAGTGGCATTAACTGTGATGGTTGTCGATCTAGTCATCATGCACACACTAAACATAAATGATAATATATTGATCGCCACCATCAACAACAAAAACAAAAAAAAATCCTTAAAACTAAAGTTAAGTAACAAAAATCCACCTGTTCATCTAAACATTAATTGTTTATGAATCAATGTGTGTGTGTGTGTATTTACACTATACACATGTTGGAGCAGGTTGTAATGTTTTTTCTTTCAAGTCGGTCAATCTAATTTTATTCGACACTCGAATGAATGAGTTACGATGATTATGATGATGATGATACAAGGATCTATTCTATCCTTCTTTTTGTTCTTGTTCTTGTTCTTGTTCTTGTTCATCATCATCATCATCATCATCACTCTTTTTTCCTCGATTAACGGTACTATAAAATCTACAAACTTGAATAAAATGATGAATCATTGAAAAAAAACCGTCAATCGGGAATCATTTAAGTAACATTATTAGTAGAGAAAAAAAATCAGTGTCCGGATTGAATACAATTGATTGATTGATATAAGATGATGAAACGATTTCTATCGGCTGTCATCGATTATTAGTATTTTAGTAGAAAAAATCGATGTTAACATGAAACTTTTGTTTGAAAAAAAGATGTTTCCTTTAATCCATGGAAAAATAAGTTGTCGTTTTTTTATGTAAAAGTTTGCCCATCTTTTTTGAGATAGAAAGGTATCCATATCCTCATCATCATCATTATTATCATCGTCAATCGATAACAACGACATCAACAATATCATAGCAGGAAAAACGGAAATATTTCATACAAGTGGCAATCATTTTTTTTTTCTTTGGAATGATACAGTAGTTGATAGTAAGATATATTACACAAGATTGATGTGTGTATGTGTTAGTTGCGTGTGTATTAAATGAAACAACATTGTGATGAATGATGAACAACAAGAAAATCCGATCAGGATCTTCCTTTTTAAGGATCATCGGGTTTTTATTTATATGTATGTGAACAATTTGGCAATCAACAACTTTGAAAAGAAAATTCAATGAACATACCAGAAGCAGTTGAAATGATAACGACAAAATTGATTTACTTCGTTTGATCAAAAAAAAGTGTGTTTGTGTGCGAAAAAAAACTAATCAAGAACCGATGGCTTTATTTTATGGCTATAATTGATAGGATTCACATTTTCTTTGAGATTGAACTATATAACGGCCAAAGGAACAAATGAAATTGATGAAATGAAATGAAATATAATGATATGACAGCTATTTTGCTTCGGGTTAAAATGGAAAAAAAACAATTTTGTAGCCATTTAAAAATTGAAAATGAAACGACTAAAACGATCAAAATTGAATGAAAATCATAAGGAAAAACAGAAGCATATGTTTGTGATTTAAATTACGGATCAAATGATTGAAAATGACTGAAGAGTAAAATAAATGAAAGAATTGTAAAATTATCTTTAGAGCTCAAACACGCATAAATACACACAGTTGATATGAATTGAAATCTAAATTGTGACAACAACAACAACAACAACCAGGATGAAAAACAAAAATGTTGAATATATAAGCTAGTTCCGGCTTGTAAAAAAATTGTCTTTTATTTAGATTACCGGACTGTATATTGTTTGTAATCGACCGACCGAGCAAGCAAATACCAATTCTGATAATGATGATGATGATGATGATAATGATGGTGGTCATATGACATACATTGCCATTCATTACAAGTGTCATTCAAAGCAACAGGTGCTGGTATATATTTTTACAACATTTTCAAAATACAACAAAGAATATGAATGAGCTGAATAGTTTTTAGTTATATAAAATAGGGCCGTAACTTGAACCGAAAAATTGTTCAACCGATTCATTGGTTGACTATAATTTGCAATTTAAATTTAAAAATTTCTTTTTTCTCCCTTATTCTTCATTATTCGCCCCATATTCGGTCATCATGTCAGAAAAAGCTGCTGTTATCTTTAAATAATAATACAGAACAAAAAAAAGAAGAAAATTTACTCTTGATGATTGTTACAGTTATTGATTGATCCGTATATTCAAAACAATTTTTATTATGAGCAATCATTTTCAACCATTCATGTTGTCAAATATAAGAAAGTTTTTTTTTGTTTGTTTGTTTGTGTTTGATTCGGAATCATAACTGATTGACTATTATCATAAGCATAATTATCATATCATCAAATGACCGAATAAGGCAGATAATTTTTTTTTCTCTTCTATGATGATAATGGTGGCCATGATGATGTCAAAGGGATATCAAAAACCTATGATTTTTTTTCATCAATATGACGGATATCAAAAAAAAAGCATGAAAGATGAAAATTATTATTGATCAAAACAATCGTCAAATTATGTATTATCAAATATGAAATATTAAAATAATAATAATAACAAAAGCAAAAAAAATATATGTAGAACAACTAATTTTTTTTTATTGAAACATGGTAAACTTTGAAGGTGGGGAACCACCGCATCACCGATCTCATCATCATCAGGGACCATCGTCATAATTGTGTTGTGTGCAAAAATAAAAACAACAAACAAAAACTAGGCCAATGAACATGTCAAATGGAATGCAACCCGTGTTTATTGAAATGCATATGTATATATTTTTATGAATTTATGCAATGATGAACATCATCATCAAATTACCATTTGAATTTCATTCTTTTTTTTTATCTAGGTTTTCTATATATACTGGTTATGTTCAGTCGATCATCATCATCATCATCATCATTATATTGTTGTTGTGTTGTGCTGATGATAATGATGATGAAAAGTAAAAATTTAAATAAATGAAAAAAAAATGTTTTTTTTACCCATTCATTTTAATTCAATCGCTTGAAATCATCATCATCATCATCATCATCATGTACATAAAAGGATGTTTCAAGGGATCATTTGTTTTTCACGTAAACATCCTTAGTCATCATCATCATCATATTATGATTTCAAAATGTAATTTGAAGCATGTTTCAGTTTCAGGAACGCAAAAAAATTTTTCAACTAAAATTGAATAGTGTGAATTTTTTTCACTCAACATGGCAATGTTGATCAACAAGTGACAATAGTGATCATTTGGCGTGCATATATAGTTGGATATAGTGAAAAAATTAATAGGCTTATTATTATGACATGGCCGCCATTGATGTTCATTTACATTTTATATAGTGAAATGTGGAATTAATTCTTGTATGTGTAAATCTAACTACCGTTTGATGATTATTAGGATTATAATGATGATGATGATGATGATGATGGTGATGGTGAAGGCAATTAAAACGAATGAACATAGAAAAAGTAATTAAATTAAGAAACAATGACAAAAAAAAATAAGAATAGGAAAAGTTTTCAGCAATTGAAATGGAAATGGTGGGAAAAATTTTTTTGAATGTAATGATCATATTTATTCATGTATATCTAGTCAAATTGTGGATGCATTGAAAATTTTGTATGAAGAAAACAAAAAATATGAATATGAAATGATTATTTTTAGATCAAAACTTGAAACTTGATTTTTAGAACTACATTTTAGAATGAGAAAAAAAAAGAATTCAAAATGAGATATCAAAAATGTCGCACCCAATATAATATAAATGATTTATGTGTGTGTGTGTAGGTGTCATATATAATTTAGCTAATAAAATTTAAAAATAAAAAAAAATTGAAAAAAAAACAAATCGATTTACATCAAATGAATTTATTAAGTTGTATGGATGGAGAAAAAAAAATGAAATGAAATAATTTAAGCAGCTAACTTGTTAGTTGATTTTTCGTATATTCATTTACCATATCTAGTTGTTGACCAATGTCGATGATTGTGTTGTCCAATTGGCCTCAGTTTGATTTGATTTTGAATTAAAATATATGTGTACACAGAGGTCAATCAATGCAATAACATCAACAACAAGACAGATGCATCAAAAAATTTTTTTTTTTTTTTGTCAGTCTATGGATGAGAGAAAAAAAATTGTTTTTCTTTTTAACATAATTGAATTGAATCGATGTTGTTGTTGTTGTTGATGGACAGCGGAAAAATTTGATAGCACTCAAACAACAACAACAACAACACCTTAAACTTCAGAACAATATCCTCGTCAATATTGTTGGCTATAATTTAATGTGTTCCATTATCTTTGGCAATTTATGATGCTAACAAATGCAGTCAAATCTACGACAATAATGAATAATAATAATAAAAAAAAACATTCAGACAAACGATAGTTATGGATTAATATTTTTTTTTTCATCTTTTATCCTTATTATATTTTCAAGAAAGGAAAAGAAAAGAAAAATCATCATCAATAGGGAAAACAAAACAACAACAATAGAAACAAAATCATAAAAATCAATCACAAAACATTTTTTTAAAAAAGATGATTGACAATCGATGGATGTTCTAATTATGGATGTTCCAATCAATTATTGTGCGAAAAGTAGAATCAATGCCAAATCGATAAAAGTATTGAAAATGGTAATAAAAAAATGAATTCATTGGTATTCAATGATAAACAAACAAACAAAAAAACAAAATAGTTATCTAGATTATTCTAGCTATAGTATTTGATTAATTGGATATAGATTTCAAATATTAATAAATGTCTGTTGTTTTTATTAATATTTCTTGAAAAAAAAAAAAATACATACAAACGACGACGATGTCGATGGTGGTGATGATGATGATGATGATGATGAAATCATTTCCGTATGTTAAACAACAAAAAAAAAAAAATGAAACAAAAACAAAACAAAGCATATTTATATTGAATTGGAAAATTGGAACACTTAAATTGTATTTTCTATCGAACATCATGATGATGATGATGATGATGATGATGATGAAAAAAACCATTCATCACCGATCCGCTGACACGAGACTTGTATCCATATTACATAAAAAGACATACACACAATCCATTATTATCATCAAATGGATGGGGAAAAATTAATTTCTTCTTTTCTTTCCATCGACAACATGATGATGATAATGATCATTATCATAATAATTATCATCAAGATTCAATCAATTATTATTATAAAATGGAAAATTAATCGACACGGATCGGATATAAACAAATGTTCGACTTGACATGGGGGAAAAGAAGTAAAAAAAAATAGACTAAATAACCCGTACGTGGATAGATCAATAGCATACATTGCAGGTAAGTAGTGTCAAACCACCAACTGTGTATATATAAAAAGTATAAGCCATTTCATGTTTGTGTGATTGAATGTTGATGCTGGTGATAATAATAATAATTATCATTATCATCATCATCATCATCATGATGTAATTCTTTATCTCTAGCCTTAGTTTAATTTGCCAACAATACACATTTGATGTTATTTTTTTTCAATTTTAATTTTTCACAAACAACAGACATTAGTCGAACAAGTTTGCTACAAGTTGAATGATGATTCGACTAACTAACTAACCAACCAACCAACCAACCAACCGTACCCAAATGTATGTTTTATAACATACAGCTGGCATATATTATTTTATTTATTATCCTATTTAGTTATGAAGATTTTATTTTTAGATCCATTATAAACAAGATTGATACATTCATTTGGCAAAATGTTAGTGTTATAATATTATTTTTCATCATTTTAGTTGAATAAAATGATGAAATAAATGAATGAATGAATGAATGAATGAAGATACATATTTGGAAAAAACCTTGTTCAATGTTATTCAAGTGAATGACTGAAATTTATCATTGAAAAAATGAAAATTAAAATCCCTTGAATTTTTGTTTCTAATTATGTGAAATAATCATCATTTAATTAAATTATCTTGTCTGTAATAGGAAAAAAACAAACCATGACAAGTAACAATTATTAAATTAAATTCAAAAATTTTTTTTTTTGATGATGATGATGATGATGATGACCAACTTCCGTTAAGTCAATGACGATTATGAAAAAGATATGACCTGTAAATCAAATTCATTAATACATATCATGGTAGAAGATGCATAGAATGCGAAAAAATTATCCTCAACAACAAGTGAAGAGAAAACTATTTTAGAAAATAAACGAAACTTGTTTGAACTAATATAATAATTTGATATAATGTGGATGTCAAAGAATGTTTCATAACAGTGATAACGATCAGAGAATAGGAGGCCAGAAAAAAATAAATAAATTATTGAGATGAAGAATTCAACCAATTGAGAAAAGTTATAATTACCGTACCACGATATACCGGATCAATATTTTTTTTTATTGAAAAGATATTCATTTATCAAACCAAAAAATGCACAAAAAAATATGCTAACATATTTTGGAAGAATATGAAGAATAAACAGAAAAAGAAAAACTTACATGTCACGTTTGGCCGTGAGCAATAGCTGGCCGTAAAACTTCGTGAAGATCTTAGTGGTGATGATGATGATGATATTGACGGTAGTGGTTGCTGCTGAATAGTAATCTGCTTCTTGATATTCGTGTTGATTTGTTGCTGCGGTTGATATTTTGTGGCCGAATGAATTCGGTTTTCTCTGTTGTCCTTATATGATGTATTGATCGCTGTTGATGATGATTGAGGCTGATATTTTTGATTATCAGAGGAGATGACAACGACAGGTTGTTGTGGATTAGTAGCCATCATTGATAATGTTCTATTATTGCTTATTACTAACGACGATGATGTTTGATGAGATGATTTTTGTTTTGGAATGATTTCCTTTGATAATGTTGATGACTTAGGAGATGATTTAAGTGTCGATATTGACGAATCGATTCGTTGTTGATCGAACAAAACTGGTTGTTGGTTTCTTTTCGAATCATTACCATTAAATTTTGTTCTATACATTGGATTGAAAACTAACGTGTTCAATGATTGGTTATTCGGATTCGTATAGACTAAATTGGTCAATCGATTGATCGCTGATGATGACGATGATGTAACTGCAATACAATTATTGGATTGATTATACGTATGTTTTGTTGATGTTGTAGATAAATATGGATCACAATAACTTGTTGTTGATGATGAATAATCATCAGCCACTAATTCAATGGCTGAATCATAGAATTCATTCGGACTTATATTCATTGATGATGGCCTAATGATGGCCATCATTGGTGATTGTTGTTGTTCAATAAAAGTCATTATTCAGTATAAAATTATGATTAACGTAACATTATTATATAATCATAATAATAATCCATCTACACAAAACCATAGGAAAAAATCACTACAAATAAAATTCTGTTTATTGGTTTGTTGCTTTGTTGTTGCTTGTCTATTAATTGTGAATAATGAAAGATGATTTGTCAAAAGAAGAAGAAAAAGTTGAAAAATGAATCCATATATAGAAACGAAATCGTGACAAAGGCATAGTCTCGAATGACAATATATATTGATTGCAAGTTGAGAATGAATGAAAAATGAAAAAGAAAAAATGTTTATTGACCAATGGAATAAAAAAGGATGAATATGAAATGCAAATTGTATATGGATTATAAGGAAATTTTTTTTTCTTTGTTTTCCTCCAAAACAACTATATATTTTAAGTTCCAAAATTATGATGATTACGATGTACTATCTATACGAAGAGTGAGAAATACAAACACAAATGTAATAACAGATTAAATGTAAATAAATAAATGAATGAAATACAAATGCGATTCGGAAAAATTTGTTCGGTCCAATGATTTTTCATGTTATTATTGTAAGTTATGAAATTTTGTAAACAACAACAACAACAACAACAAAATTCTCATAAAAAAAATTGTTCTATTCTTGGAAAGTGAAAATCAACACACACATCTATGGTTTGGTGTAATTGAAAAATTTTTTTTTAATGCTTTTTCTGCTTTCTAATCTATTACATACACTGTGTGATCATCACAATAAGATGAATGATGATGTTTTTTATTTCCTTTTTTTTCTATGGCCAATATATATTTGGAAAATGAATAAATATCGCTACTTGTGTTGATTAATAAAAGTTGATTTTTTTTTCTCGCTTGTTGGATTTGATAAAAATCAAGTTGAAGCAAGGCTGAACAGAAAAAAAAATTGCCAAACTTTAAATACTAAACAACGAAATGAGGACATTCACAGGTTAGTGTTAACTTTTCAGTATAAAAAAAATGTGTGTTTATGTGTGATCATCATATAACAGGATGCAAAGAAACAAGTGACAAATTTTTTTGTTTTCCTACAAAACATTGATATATACCGGAAAAACCAGTATTATTTGGTAAAAAGAATATGAAAAACAAAACAAAACAAAAAAAAATCTAATCCTAAAATTGATGATATAAACACAATCAAATTATGACGATAAATATTATATAATGATAATCATAATTTAAATATATAAATAAATGTCGATTTTAGCCAACTTGATTCAAATCAATTCAAGTTCACCTTAACGAACAAAAAAAAAATCGTGAATACAAAAAAAAATGAATGGACAAAAGAAAAGAAAAAAAAACAAAAAGAAAATATTTGATTATTTCTTTCGATCTATCAGTGTGTATTGAAAGATGGATAATACAAATGGTAATCATCATCGTCAAATAATGAAAGAATGATGATGAATAGACCATCGATCGAATGAATCAATTGTTATATGCGTGTATATGTGCATAAAACATTGATCCAACATTTCCATCAATCAAATTATTGACATAATTCGTATAAAGTAAAATCATAGTTGGCTAGCCGTTATCTAACAAACAATAACAAAAAAAAAAAGAAAAACTACGACAATAACAACATTGAAACTATTTATTCGATTGGTTATTTTGTATATACTATTCTGTTTTGTTGTTTTGGTTGTTCTTATTGTCATTGTGATTAGCTATTGCTAAAAAGGTAAATGGACAATGTCTTTAGATGATGATGAGGATGATTAAGTACATTGAACTGAAATGGCGATAGATCAATAAATGATCACATACAGTGATTAAGATAACTGTTCCAGAAAAAATGATCTGAATGACAGGAACAAAGCTATGCAGGTAATAATCATCATCAAATTGGTCGGTTGGTTATTCGGTGGGCATATTTTGCTTGCTATGTAGATATAATCTTTGTAGAGATACGATGGATAATGAAGAGATTCAAATAGATTTAGATAGATGATTGAATACTTGATCGATCTATTAAAACAACAACAAACTCTGACCAATCATTGAATGGATTGAACTTGATAATAAACAAGAAGAGATGTTATTCAATTTAATTTAACCATGATCAAATTGGTCAAATTCATGATTTACAATTTTAGATGAAAATAAAAACTGTTAGAAAACATATTACTAGTTTCTAAGATAAAACAGATCATCATCAGGATCGATTCGACGAGAAGTAGATACAAATGGTCAAACGAACACTGAAGTAGTAAACACATGGACATTGAATGAAAAAAATGAGAAAAAATACATTTCTTTCAGGATTTTCATTTGTCTTAGATTTTATGATGTGACACACAATATGTACACAGCAATAGCAACGGCATTATTAGTCCAAGTACGGGCCCATATCAATTAGTTTTGCCAACGATTTGGAACGTGACTTTAGCTAAACACGTGCCATTCTCATCAGAAAAAAAATAGCGTGTGGGTCAGAATGAATCAACTAATCTATTAGATCTGAAGAATAATGATGAAGGGCATCTGGCATTGATTATTAGGCTGGGACAAATGTGATAGCAAACTAAAACCGAATGTCATTTACCATGACATATGTGTGTGTGTGTGTGTGCGACATGCGAAACATATTATCAATATTCGGAATGGTAAATGAAATGGTTGAATGGCCACCAACCGATGTATGATTTTAATCAATCGTATCATTGGCAAACAAAATATGTAGTATATGTATATAATTGAACAATGAATCCAATACAAATTGTTACTTACCGAAAAAAAGTAAAGCCAAAAAAGAAATGTATAAAATCCAAATAACGATAGAAATTGGAATAAAAACCAGGTTGAACGTCATGAAATCAATCGTCAATGATATTATAACCGATTTTAATGACAAACTTTTATGTAGTTTTTTTCTCCGTTAGCAAAAAAAAAATGATCGATTTTGAAATCATGCATTTCAAATATGCGAGAAAACGAATGAACACAAACGTACGAGCGTTGTTGTACAAACAACAATTTTGAGAAGAGCGGATTTTTTATTTTTTTTTTTTTTTTCGTTGACTAAAATTGGCCAAAATGTTCCGGATAAATATTTACTTTTTTGTTCAACTTTGAATGACGACGAAGAGACTGGAAAAAAACTGAGTTTATTGTTACTGTTGTTTATTTATTCCAATTTTAGCATATATCGATTGGTGTTATATATCCGACGATTTGGCTGATCAAACATTTATTATATTGATCATAATCAATATAATAACATTGTCTGTTTGAAGATTAATTCGTATGAATTCATTATGATGGATAACAAAAGCACAAATTTAAATATATCCATGCACAACAATCACATTAAATAGAATTTCAATTAAAAATGTTCAATTCAGAAAAATGAATTTAATAATCAAATGGCAATAAGCGAAAATCATTTATTGATCAAGCCATCTGATATGGATGTATTATTATTATTGAATCTGAGCGATGGCCATCACTTTTTGTTGCAGTTGTTGTTGTTGTGATCATCATCATCGTCATTGTGGTTGTTGTTGTTGTTGTTGAACAGCGAAAGTGTCGAAATTTGAAGCCAGAAAAAAATGTTCTCGAAGTAGTATGCATGCAACAGATCCTCGAAGTGTTTAGAATACATGCATGTATGCAATCTGTAATAGTTCGAGGTTGTCTGTTGGATGGTTGGTCGGTTGGTTATTCGGTGGGCATAAAATGCTTTCCTTCTCTTTCTCTCTCTCTCTCTCTCATCTCATTCTTCGTGATTGTATCCCCAACTTGTTCGATTGCTCTTTCATTCTCTTTCTCTCTTTCGTCGTAATGATATCCACTGCTGTTGCTTATTGATGAATCCATGATGAGAACAGCAAATACACATTGTACAAATGAAACCTTTGAATTTTCCGCCATCCAGTGATACTAGAGGATAGATATTTTTGAAAAACAAAAAAAAATTAAAATGGACATGGCCTCCATGTTGATGATTATAAAAGCAATATATAAACTTGTTGAGCCACTTTAATTCCGAATATTTTAATATCAATGAACAAATTTAAATTATTCAGAAAATAATGATATAAATGTGACTCCCTCTTTCGACACAAAATCAAATTAACACAATATTTGAGCTTTTTATTATATTATTTTAAATGTAAAATGGATTTTTTCTTTATAATTCTTTTCCGAAATTACAATTATCATTATATCATATTATATACAGAGCAAAAATTATTCATATTCGTAAACGAATGTTATTATTATTTACAAAATTACAATACTACAAACAAATATCTTCGACCGCTTATATGTATGATACAAAAGTATTTGATACAATGAAAAGAAAAACGAAAAAAAAAGAAATTTATAATTGAAAAAAAAATAAATATGAGAACATTTAAAATTAAATGAATAACAAACAATAATGATGGTGGTGATGATGATGATGATGATAATAAGCAAGATTGATGTTTGTTTTTACTACAGACTTGGCATTCATTATCGAGAATTTATTGAGATTAGATTAGATTCTAGTGAACAATATTCGATTCCAGATACAATGATTGTTCCAAGAATGAAAATGAAAATGATGATGATGATGAGTTTTTTTTTAATTTCACAACATCAATCAAAATCAAATCAATGAATATAACAGAAATAGAAAAAAAATGAATGAGAAAAAAAATCACAATTGTAATTGGCATTTGAATTGTTTTGTTTCATCGAAGTTCGGATTTTTTGTTTTAGTTTTCAAAATACTACTCCTATATTTTCTTGTGTGTATCAAACAAGAAAACCTTCCGGTGAACCAATACTATTTTGAGCTCGTAATGAAAAGATACTATTCATTATTTTTTTCTGATGACTTGGAATATCAATACCAATGGTTAATAAATCCTGTGGGCTTAATCGTGCTACAGCAGGCAGGTTATTGATACCAGCATGTTCAAAATTGATCTGATATCTGGACATTTTAATGCTTGCCAACCATTCATAAAATGATTTGAATTGTATCACATCGGGTATGGAAGTTTGCTCGATGAATGGATCCACTCTGTTTTTTTTAAAAAGAAAGAATAAATGAATTTTCACATTCCTTTCATATAATTGACATAAATACCTTGTCATTTGTTGAGCTAACTTCATTAGATTCTCTGGACATTTGGCCAGTTTGTCCAATGTTTTTACAATTTGTGTAAATGTTGGACGATTAGAACGATCTTTTTGCCATGATTCTAACATTAATTGATAGACAGCATCAGGACAATCCTGAATGAATTAAAAATGAAT